CTGTTCAGAGTCTTGAAAAATCCTCTTTTTTCCCTTTGTTTTTGGAGAAGAGAGAATAGATTGTAGAAGATGGGTACGCAGAGCTGTTTCTCCAGTTTCTTTCTCTTCCCTTATCCATTTTTGAATGGATTGGATAGTTTCGNTTTTGCGAGGAGACGTAAGGGATCGTAAGAAGTTGCTGAGGAAAGTTGCTTGACGCAACCATTCTTGAATCATATCCTCCAGGAATCCGTCNGGCTCAATTATCTCAGTAGACGCATCAGACTGCAGTGAAGACGCCAACTGTATTGGTTCTCGAGTTTCGCGTTTGAGAGCTGGGTCTTTGGTCATTTTGGCAAGCAGTGNATCAATTCGTAATGAAAAAGATGAATAGATTTTGATAATATACCCCATCCTAGAGAGCCGCGGGTTAAATATATACCTGACATGCAGGCAAGGCCCGCTACATTTATCAATACTGTGTTTCTAGAATTATCACACTGTATCACGTCCTTATCTATTTTATATTACTACATAACATTTAAAACACTGCAGTAAGCACAGAACTTCCTCATAGAGGACGATGTTAGATCAAGACTTATTAATAAAAAAATACTCGACAATTACTGTAAGTTTCAAATAGTGAAACATCTATTCATCTCTGAAAAAAATATCTGCTATTGAACTTTTTAGGCGATATCATATAATATTATAGTGATAGCTATAGCTTCAAGAAATAAATACAAGAATATATAATTTTATACCTCTACATAACCCTGCCTGGATAACGACCTTGAGAAGCGCTTGTAGAACTGCAACCTAGGTGATCTGCCTCTTGAACTACGCCGCTGCACCCAGCCCTGCCGGGATAACGACCATGCTCGTGAGAAGCGCTCAATAGCCTAGGTGATCTGCCTCTTGAACTACGCCGCTGCACCCAGCCCTGCCAGGATAACGACCATGCTCTTAAGACAGACCAATAACCAAACTCAACTCAAATCATTTATCTGTATTTATGTAGTTCGTTTGGATTCTAATGATTGGATCCGCTTACTCCTTCGTGGAGCTCTGGTGTTGGAAGACCCTGTCTGACTCTTCGGCCTTTTGGGCCTCTTAGCTGCCCTTTCCTTGCGATCAAGTTTAGTAAAAGAGGAAGTATGAGATGATGAAGAATCTGCGATAGGACTCTCTGGTCTTTGTTGTTTGAATCCATTGACTGCCCTTTCTTTTTGATCATTTTTAGAAAACGAAGCATGAGATAATGAAGGATCTGTGCGATGGCTCTCTAGCCTTTGGCGTTTAGATCCATTGGCTGCCCTTTCTTNAAACGAAGCATGAGATAATGAAGGATCTGTGCGATGGCTCTCTAGCCTTTGGCGTTTAGATCCATTGGCTGCCCTTTCTTCTTGATCATTTTTAGGAGCGGAAGATGAAGCATGAGATAATGAAGAATCTGCATCAGGACTCTCTGTCCTTTTGCGTTTGGATCCATTGGCTGCCCTTTCTTCTTGCGCATTTTCAGCGAAAGAAGATGAAGTATGAGGCGATGAAGAATCTGCAGCAGGACTCTGTGACCTTTTGCGTTTGGATCCCCTTTCATCATCATCATCATCATCATTATCATTCATCTCCTTCCTAATAATTCTTAGCTATTATAGCGCACTAGGTATTCAAAAGATAAGGTGGTACAAACCGCTTCCTTTGGTATTGGCTTCTTTGCTCTGGCGCAGGAAGAAAACCATTATCCTTCAGCCAATCTTCAGGTCCCATTGGTCCATCATAATAATCAGGAATGAAATACTGTGTTTTATTGCCCAGATAGTTGTTAGGGATCCCGTTGGTTTGTTCATCGATAAATTCATCGGCAAGGTCAGATTGGCTATCTTGTACATCGGATTCTCGATATCCCATAAGGTCCATGCAGCTAACATGGGCCATTTCTTCTAACTCTCTTCGGAGCAACGCGTTTTTTTTTTCAAACATCCGTTTATATTCTTCTCTGCTTTTAGCATCTTTGGCAATTGCTATTGCGGTTTTAAAAAATTCGTCTTGTGGTAAGATAGGGATTTCGAGTCGGATTGTGTTAAATTTTTTCCAGTCAAATCTCGACAGAACTCCTGGATGGGATATCTGAGTCTTAGAATATCCATCCCAGTCCTCGTATTGGTCCTGCCAATCTTCAGTGTGTCCAATCCATATGCGGATATAGTCAAGCAATGGCCTTTGGGGCCCCAGCTGATTTATTATAACCGTGTGCATCGTGGTCGCGGCAGGCAAGTGAATGTGTTTGGATAGATGATTGTCCTGGTTTCGCGGCGCGTGTGGCGAAGGATTACGAGGTACAAGACCCTGAGCCGTATCACCTGATTGCTTTAGTAAGCCAGTGGCATACTGCAGTGAAGCGGGCGGGACGGGGCTAGCGGGGATAGACAATGAGACAGAGGACAGAGAGAGGGAGGGAAGAGAAAAAGAAGGAAGGGAGAAAGAAGGAAGAGAGAAATAGTGCCGCATGATAATAAATAACATATTATTCTATGCCTAATCACCAGGGCAAACTTTAGGCCACGCCCTCCTGGGAAGGAACTCTGTTTAACTACCAAGACAGATTTTGAACTACACCCTTTCACACTATTCCCGCCAACAAAGCCCTTCCCAGGAAGAACTTTCGTCTAACCGCCAAGGGGGATTTTGAATCACACCATTTCCTATGATGCTTCTCTTGTCCACTCCACAAAATCCCTTTTTTTACAAGGCAAGAACGGCTGTTGTTTTCATGTGGTATTATAGTGTCCACTCCATTGGGTGAAGATTATAACGTTGCGTTTAAGATACTGTGACGTTCTGATCCCTATACCTGGTATAGGGTAGCTAGTTCCCAAGGGATAAACCTCAACGTCAGTTTTATGTTGGCAGAGAGACGCGAGGGATCTTGTGAGCGGTCTTTAGTCACGTGGCGGATAACTTTGGATGAGAGTCCAATCTGATTGTTATATGAATGCCATGTTAACGACTGACTATCTAAAGCTTCTATCTAATGAGCGTAATGAACGGTCTTATATAGTAAGTCGTTCCGTTTGGATCACGGCTGGATCATGATGCATAGACTCACGATGGCTCACGGTGGTGATCCAACAAGGGTGCCTATAAACCGTGATCCTCTTCTGATTGGTCCGTCGGTCCTTAGTTATTCCCTGAGTACGTACCTCTAGGCTACTAATGTATGGCCATGGGGTTCAGGTCGTAACAGATACCGTCTTCTCCCGCTTCCCCCTTTTATCTTCAGCTTCCCTTATATGAAATCTGCGATACATAACGACAACTATTGTATTTTCTAACAAATTGTATTCTTATTAGACCACATCTACACAGGCGAAAAGTATCAGCTCAACTGTGTGCTTCATTAATGGAATCTCTCCTGGGCAGTGTAAGGCCACGCGCCCCCAAGGCCAAGCCTGATTGTATTATTGTATCGTAGTAGGCGCCGGCCATGTTTGATCTAGCGCGAATGCGTCATAATACAAGCCATAATTATAACCTTGTTTTAGTTTGTAATAATTATCACCATCTTTAACACGATTCGATTTGTCACTCGCTCCCAATTGAAGTTTGGCTACTGCAGATCGTCACAGCCCTGGAGACCCCCCTTCCTAGGCCAGAGGCAGATTTACTATTTTTACGTGCAAGTAAGTCAGATCATTAAAGTCTAGACCGATTACATACATGTAAGTCATGTAGCAGGCTCGGCTGCCAAAAGTCGATTCAATTGGGGGGGGGGGGGAGATCCCAAATGGTCCAAAGCGGAACACATTCCGCGTCTTCAGCTATATAAAGTGTCGCTCACCCCGACAAAGAAGATATTCTTTTCTTTCTTCTTCACAAACGAGTGATATATCTATTTCTCATACATTATTTCAAAACCATCTACCATGGGGCGTTCTTACAGACAACGCCCCGACACATATCGTACCGACAGAATTCACTCGGATTCTAGTCCACGCTATACATGGCCAGAGGATAAGAAAAAGACCAAAAAAATGGGAAAAGAAGAGGCATTGCAAATATTCCAACGAGCTCAGCAATTTGAACGATCTGTTCGTTCTCGTGCTGTAACCCATACCCCTACCTGTGATTTGAGTCGTCCAGGAGAGCATAATGACGACACTTGGTTTCATACAAGTCAACCGGGCCCGGACCAGATTATGCCAGGTAAGCTCCTAACCTTGGTCTATTCTCAAGCCCTAGTCGAAAAACTTAAGATGCTGAGATTTTATGCGCCATTCTAGACCTTGAAAACATCACCGATGAGGTAGATAACGACATCTTTGAAGCATCGCGCAATATTCCTAGTGGAGAAGACTCTGAAAACGATAATAAAGAGGTGTATACCGACGTTCTTGAGGGAGTAGACTCTGAAAACGACACTGAGGCATATACGGACATTGTTGAAGGGGAAGACTCTGAAAATAGGGCCGAAGAAATACGCGACGGTCTCGGCGAAACAGAGGGTAATATTGCCGCTAGCCTCAGAATTGTCTTTCTTTGTGGCGTGACGTTTTCAACCTCTAGTTTTAAATCAACACGCGACAGTCCCAGTGGAGTAAACGGTGATATCACCATTGACTACAAAACTAATGATACTAGTTGTTTCACCTGTGGGATTATTTATTCAAGCGCTAGCGTTAGGAGTGAACGCTCGCATTTAACAGCGGGAATATCAGAATGTAGGTTATTATTTATACGTCTTTATTGGCTGGGAGATGTAGCTGAACATAACTTCTAATAGACTCTCGAGAGGTCGGGGAAGAATACTCCTTGGGCAGTACAGAGGGAATACTTGGCCAATTGCAATGTGAGCTTTATCTTCTTGTATATATTATATATGCTGATATCTTCTACTAAGCCTCGCAACGGATTGAGAACAAGCTGGGAGAGGACACTTTACTCATAAATCAACAAGATGTGGGCTCTTCTCTTCATAGCGGCAATCCTCGCAAACGGAGTCGAACTGAAGAAACTGAGGCTGAAGAGTCAAAGTCGAAAATTAGCCGATCCAGATACAGCTTCTACGGAGAAATTGGCCGCTAAATACAAGAGGTAGAATAAACTTATATATGCCAAAAAAAAAAAATTTATTTAGCAATTAAAGATATAAACATAAGATTATACCCAAAGGCATAAAATTTACGGCATTTTGACCGTCCTGTATTATTTCTTCTATCTAAGGCCAGGGTTATACTGTAATACGGAGAAGACATTAGCATAAAATAGAGTGCAATAATAGCATCTCTTACATTTTAGATATACAGAAGATATAAGATTAATATCTATAACTCTTAAGGCTCAATCAAATATAAGGACATGTTCTTTAAACCATGGCAAGTAAACATCCCTCCCCCAGGCGGTAAGCTCCCGAACACCAGCAACAGCGGCATAAGCTCCCTTTATTGTTCTAGTTGTCCCAAAAGCTGTGTCTGTCCACAAGACGGTAGTTTTTTTGTCATTATCATATGTAGAAAGCACTGGAACCCATCGAAATCCACTGATGATAATACCTGGGATAAAGCCAAGTGCTGATAATGCTGTAAATTTCTCTTTTTTAAAGTCTTCCTGGTCTTGAGCTGTAGCTGGTTCATAACGGCCTCGGGCTATCCGTTGTTGAAGAAGCTTCTCACCAACAGCCCATTCCAAAAACTTCCATTGTGCAGCATGCCACATGCCGATTTGTAGCTTTGCCTTCTCCAATTCTGCAGCAGGCTTCTTATTCTCAATGCTTAGTAGAAGAGGATTATATTGAGTCGGTATAAAGTCGGTATGATTAATAGATTGGGTAGGATTAATGCGGGCAAATTTCTTTATAGCGGATATCCATTCTTTATCATCCACAAACGAACGGAATATGCAGCCGTCAATCATCCTAGCTGTAGAAGCCACTGGTCTAAACTCTTTGTGTAGCTGGGCCGTGGTACTATTATATAATAAGAGTTAGCTATATCATAACTGTACTTTTTAAGGTTATAAACTTACCAGTCTGTAGCACCAAATTTGCTGATCGGTCCTGTAAGAGGATCTTCAAATATCATATCAAGCAATCTTAAATTGACAGCGCCATTCCAACGGGACTCATTATCACAGCGAGTGGCAATTTCAATAGCCTTTCTTACTATTTCGTCTATCTGATTCAGAGACGGAATCCGGCCAGGTAAATCATCATTAGGTGCACTTTCCGGCCTGCAACAGGATTTCAATTTTTCATATACCTGGATTTTATTTTGATATATTTGCATTTGAGGGATCGCCTGTTGTTGAGTGGTCGCCTGTTGTTGAGTGGTCGCCTGTTGTTGAGTGGTCGCCTGTTGTTGAGTGGTCGCCTGTTGTAGAGTGGTCGCCTGTTGTTGAATGATCGCCTGTTGTTCAGTAATCGCCTGTTGGAAGCCATGTGGTAAAAGATTTTTATTTTCTGCAAATTCTTCTAAAGTTTCATACAACTTCTTTGCAGCCATGGGCACTGTATCTATAACGAGTTCGGTATATACTAAGATATCGTCCAGACTTAAGCTCATCATTTGTTTTCTGGGTGATGATGATCTTGATGTAGAGCCCGCTCGGGAGCGAGATATAGAGAGAGATCCGGAGAGAGAGCTGGGGAGAGATATTGAAGCCGAAGAGCTTGGAAAGTTGCGAACTGCCGGTCGAGGCGTTGCTTCAGGATCGACTGGCGCATCCTCGCTGTCTAATCGGCGTTTCTTTGGAGTTGATGCCATACTGTTGGAATCTGCGCTCATAGAGCTAGATGGAGGGCTGGCAAGGCAACCGCTAGATACGATCGTGCGTTTTCTCTTGCGGTTTCGGGTCGCATCTGAACGTAGGGCATTGTCGTGCTTTCCAGCCTCTGGATTTCCAGCCTCTGGAAGGCTGGTAGACGCGATCTTGCGTTTTGTTGGCGCGATCTCGGGTTCTTGAGTTGCGTCCGAATATTGAAAATCGTCGTGCTTTACAGCCTCTTCTGGAATACTGTAAACCCAGGAAAGAATCCTGCTATCATCCATGGCGCATATATTTTATAAATAAAAGTATAGAGGAAGGTAAAAGATTGTCTTAAGCCGGCAGGACGCTACTCTAGGCTACTCTATGAAACTGTGGAATGCTTCAGCGTTGGCCTGCCAACGGCCCCATAATTCCTCTACGTGTACGAGCATAATAGGTACTGTGCCCAATGTAAAACCTTACCTAACGCGCCCTTGCGCCCTGTGTATTCTAGTGGGGTAAGTGCTAGTACAGTAATCCGTAAGAGAGGGAGTGAAAGGCGCATCTAGAAAACGGTTCACCGGCTCCGTTTAATAATGCAAGCCAGAACAGGAGAGGTTAGCGTCCTGGGGTTAGCCCCATGAGCCCATGAGCCACATCTTCAAAAAACGGAAGCATATGCCTCCAATCTTTTAACCTTAGGCATCTATATATATACTTAGCAGACTTCGCTCATTAAAGAAAATCGTACGGAAAATAGACGCCGAGCAATTTTTAAACGCGAATGAGCGCAAATTAGCTCACGATTTACTTTTGCTATCTCGTTAGGAGGACTAAGTTACCTTTTTGGTACTAGTACTTGTATCTCAAAGCCAATCAAGTACTAGTAGTGAGATTTTTTGGTCCTTTGTTTCAGGCCAGAATATATGCGACAACAAAGTACATATACTTGCGATATGAAAATTGTGCTTTCACCTTCCTTATGATATGCTTCGCAGGTAGGTCCTTCCTTGTACGGTACCTTTATCCATATTCGTGCTGCGGCTTTTATGTTTCTGTTGCCTAGAGAGTCTGTATTACATACTACATTGATCTGTACTATTCTGCAATTGTTTAAAAGCGGAAGCTACTTTTGCACAGAACAATAGATCGGACATTATGAAAGGCTCTGTTGAAGATGTCCAAGTCAAGCTCTCAGAACTCTCAAATGCAGTACATGATATCCGCGACTCCTGCTGATACACTACGAGAGAGCAGATGGCATGAAAAGCTTACTGGAAGAGCTAGGCGAGAAACATGACATTTTTGAGTTCTCGCTAAGGGGAGATTGGAGGGGGCCGCCGAAGTGACACATGCAGAGTGTACAAGCAGCGAAAGTATGACCTAATGGGAATTGTATATACTTGATAGAGGCCGCAATAGATCAGCATGTCGGTTTTCTAATAAATACTTATAGAATCAACAGTCAAGGTTAACACAGTAGGTCTTTTCAACAAAGTTGCTAAAGTGCCCTGTCATCTGTTGTTCTTATAACAACTGCGCTATTGCTGAGTCCCGAAGTCGAATTATTAGTCTTGTCCATCCCTAATTTTAATTCTGCAGATTTTTTCGAATACTTGTGCTTGCATTGATACGGCACGGCTATATGAAGCTGTTCAACACCGCAAACCATACAATCACAACGCTGTATCCGTATTAAAGATGAAGGATATTGCACGCCCTGCTCCGTTGTTCCAGTAATGTGAACAGAAACTTCAATCTTTACTTCTGGATTCATTCTTTCGAGGACCTCAAGTAGCGCTCTACTGCAATTAATAGCTCTGTCGCATCTCACTATTCTACCCACTGGAGGAGATTCTCGCGTGTGTCTCCTGTGCTGTCTTTCGATTTCGGGTAGACTTCCCTCGCCAAAGCTGGAGCTGTCGTCTGGTACCGCAGGTTGCAAGTCTGAAATATTAACGCCGCCCGCATAATTCGAGTCTTCGACAACTAAGTCACGTGGGCTACCAGTGCTGTCGCTACATGCCGAGCTATTGGTATCATTCAATGGACTAGACCAGTCACCGTCTATTCTATTGTTAATCGCCAACATTATAAGGGCTAGATGGTATCACTTGCCTAAATTTTTTGTCGATTCAATGTGTGGACCGAATAAGTCCACGCTTAGTGCATACTCAGAGTCACTCATGTCGCATTAAGGGAAAAAGCTATTCAAACTCACAATTTGTTCATTCGTTTTTTTATTGTACAGTCCTTGCCATTAAGGGTGTCGCAGCTGTCCAATAATAGTGTTTCTGCGCACGAACCACATATGTGGCGCATTATGGCTTGTCACCGTGCGATGGTACGTACCTCGAACTGGAGAGGCTTAACAAAAGCCAGAAACGGCTCAAGGTGCGCCAGGCAGTAAGGCAACACTTTCAAACCTAGCCCCCAGACCTCCCAAACGGCAACTTTCTGCTTGCTGTCCATTTTCTGGCAAAGCCACAATAGGCTCTACCTTATCGTGACCATGCCATCACGCCTCAGTCTCTCCCAATACAATCAGATCGATGCCATGATTAGAAGTGGCTTATCGACTAACGAGATAGTTACATCTGTTCGCTGCTGTGACCGCCGTACAGTTCAACGACGACGTTTGAAGCTACACGGCCTTCCACCGAAGGAAGCGTCAGCGACCCCATCAAACCCTTTGATCCCTGTCGGCCGAAGTTGTTACATTACACCATACATGCAAGAGATACTACGTAAGCAGCTGCTATTGCAGCCAGATATGTTCCAATGTGAAATGACCGCTTTCCTATATGACAAGACCGGAGTAGAGGTGTCGCTCTCGACCATGAGTCGGACCCTTAGGGCGATGGGCTGGTCCCGGAAAACCTGTCGTCGTATAGCGCAGCAACAAGATAAACAGCTGCGAAATTTCTATTTGCGTAAGGTTTCACAATATGACGCCAAACAGCTGGTCTTTATTGATGAGTCCGGCTGTGATAAGAAGGCTGGGCAACGGCGTATGGGTTGGTCCCCGCGAGGGTCAACTCCTGTGAAGGTAAACGAACTGAACTGCGACACGAGATATCAGATTCTTCCGGCGTATACTATGGAGGGCATCCTCTTAGCCCGTGTGTATACGGGATCAACAGATGCTGAATGGTTTGAGGACTTTATTAAGCAGCTATTACACCACTGTGGCAAGTGGCCAGAGCCTAACTCTGTCCTCGTTATGGATAATGCTTCATGGCATAATCAGGAAAGACTGCAACAGCTATGTGCAGATGCAGGGGTAAAGTTACTCTTTCTACCGCCCTACTCACCAGATTTTAATCCTATTGAAGAATTTTTCTCAGAACTAAAGGCATACATCAAAAGGCACTGGAATAAACATTTAGGTCTTATTAAAGGAGACTTCAGAGCGTTCTTAAAAATGTGTGTTAGGATTGTTGGCTCCCGACGATCAAGCGCTAGAGGTCATTTCCGCCATGCTGGATTATCTGTGGAGGAACCTCACGAATAAACAGTCCATACATCATAAAATAGCCTATATGTAAAGAAAGAAGAAAGAAAGTACGCGTACGCTATTATATAGTCCCGTTATTCACATTATCTACCCACTTTTTGACATCACGAACCCAGGATTCCGCAATACCCGGCAAAATACCCGCATTGACAAAAATTTCAACACATTGTTGCTGGCACATGTACATATACTTGAGATCGAGCCCTTGTTGAAATGTGAACGCGACTGCCTTTCGAATGCTCGCTTTCCAGATATCACTGCTAACCCGAGCACAGTGAAATATACCATACAGTTCTATTGCGTCATCTCTCGGTTCAGGAATGTCCCACTCATCCACGTCAATGTCCTTTGGTGGCCCTGTAAGAGCTACGGCTGACGCTTGATTGGACGGACCAGGTAAGACATTGGTAATGTGGATCGGATAGCTATCTATAAACGAGTCTCTTCGTTTTCGTTTCTTGCTGCTTTCCTTCCGTTGCTCATTAAGGCGGTCTTTTTTGTAGATCATATCACGGATGAATTGTGGCACATCCTTCTGGTCATCAAATCTGTTACCTTCTTCGGAATACGTGACCAGCTCTTGCATAATATCGCCGTCTGCAGGAAAATGCTTGTTACCTCGCTCTGGATCACGAAAGCACTGCGTTCCTGAGCATGGGGGACCATCGCATTGCATAATAGCATAAACTTTGGACCAATGATTGGGCCGACCAGCAGCCTCATCTTCTGCTTGCTCAGCTTCTAGTTCTGCATGTTGTCTTCCCGTGGCTCCTCCTCTTCGTCGGGTACTTGAGCGGGTGCTCATTGATGCCGATGGAACCGAAGGCTTATAAACAAATACTACCTTTATATGCAATTTCCTCCCTCCACGGAACAGAGGGCTCCAAATTTGCAGCTGCTTCTCGACCTCCTTCCAGTTTATATCAAAATCGGGGTAAGATTTCGAAAAATTAGTTTCGGCTCGGTCCGAGACAGATATAACGAAGTTAGCCTCTTCAGGTTCGTAGCATTTAGTGGCGGGGGTCTTCTTTTTAAGGCGGTCCTCAAGCTTTTTCTTCCAAGACTTGTCCCAGTACGCACCAGGCGCCAACACAAGATCTTGCTCGAGTTCTGGATTGTACATGAGCTTCATTAGCCTTTTTCCTGTATTCAAGCGTAAATCCCACTCGATAGAGTAATGGATACATGTAGGTGGAAATTCATCATATAGCAGGTCTTCGTCCCAGTCGCTCAACTGGAGCAGCGGCAGTGATGGACTATGAGATCGCTTCTGACTCTGGCCAATCGGGCTCGCACTGTTACTCTCGAGCCTAGGAGTCCGAAAATCAAGCTCGACATCATAAAATAAGGCTGGATCGTAGTATGCATCCTCCATGGTGGCGTGCCTGTCAAAGGAGGCAAGAGGTAAATGCGACTCGAATCATCGCAGGAACGCCAGCCAGCCAGGACGCCAGTGGCCCCAAGCAAACACAGTGTACCTTAGTGTTCCATAGTATTCCATGTTATTCTATAGATGTTTGTGCCGACCATTTTTCCGCACAAGGAAGGCTGGCTACAGTCACGTGCGAAACGCTCTGTAGCTTCACTTGATTCGCTGAGAAAAAAAAATTAATTCGCACGGTAAAGTTAAAACTACAAAGCCGCGGCTAGCAGCTCCATGCCGTCTGAGCCCGCACTTACACTTCAAAATCAAGATGTACATCGGTAGAATTGGTAAAGTTCCATTCACGACCTCCATCTCATTCTACAGCATTACAGAAGAGGGGAATAAGCTTACCGCAATCATTTGAATATCATGAACTAGTCTATTTTGGACTTGTGTGGCTGTGTGCTGAGCGTGTAGGTAATGTACATGCTTGTTAGCCTCAGCAATCAAATTAATGCCTTAGAAATAAGGTTTGAGAAATCTCGTCGTCTGGGCTTCCCCAAAGTGCACCCACCTTTGCGGATCGCATTATCTCATTGATACTAATATATGAGATCAAGGGGTAAAAGAACGCTAGGAACGGGCCGTTCTATATCGGAGTTGTACCCACTAACGAGCTGATCATCCGCTCTATAGCTTTTTACTACCCATTAGCCACTCTTGTGCCTCTTTTGTCCTCGATGTTCTACTTAGGCCTCACTCTGGCTATCATTGGTTGTACTAATTTTAGCCACATGAAGCCGCCTGGCGCCTTATTGCCTTCCCCCGCTTCTCGTAGTTTCTTCACACTTCTTTTTCTCGTTAATTATCATCTCGTTCTCTACCTGCTTGACGCGCCGCTTTGACTGATTGCGGAGTCTGTAAAACCGAGTAAGATACGAAAGGTTCATGATTCAGACATTACACGGTGCCAGCCACGAAACGCCGGAAGATGGACCACCATCCATCCCGCGAGGAGGTGGCAACGCCGAAGGCTGTCAATACATTTCAGAATTCATCCAACACCCAAACGCCTGTAACTGCTACCTCTAGACTGCGAAGCGACTCTTCTCAGACGGCTACTAGGCAGAAGAACCTTGTTTTTCGCGTTACTGGTCTCCTAGCCTCGCAGACGAACGATGCGCTGGTGGATTTTATCCGCAAAAATCTGTTGAAGGGTGAAGAACAGTCACAGTTGAAAGTCACCGCAAGCATCGTACCGTCTTGCTCCAACAATGAGCAGGAGAGGGTTGCGTTAGTAGAGTTTGGCGGCAGAGTTCCCGATTTCTTGTCCGCGCTAGTCGCAAACCCTCTGGAAGACTGGCAGGTTGAGATGGGTAATGTGGATATTAATTTTGACCAACATTTTTTTGGGTTTACACAGCTTTACACCCCTAAAGCAGATAGGCCAGTTACCGCAGAGTATGTAACATTTCGTTGATGGTGCAACCTGCTCTTGTTATTCCTGTGCGCAGCCCTAATGCTAATCCACTGGGTCGCAGTGTAATCGCTATCACAGGTCTCGATGGACATGCGTATGGCTCATGGAGGGGTAAGGGAAACCTTGGGCGGATGTGGTTGCGCCATTTCCTGTCTAAAGATCTGCCCTACTGTCGCACGATGACCTATGGCTACAACTCGAAGCTCTCAACCCGTGGGGTCGACACCATTATGGACTATAGCCGCGGGCTAATGGAGGCACTCAAGAAAATCCGGAACACAGAGGAGGTAAGCTCTATTATAACATGCTGTCACAAGAGCACGAACATGAGGCCAATAATTGCACCGCTCTAGCTAAGACAGCGACCACTCTTCTTCATCGCGCACAGCTTTGGCGGTATTATACTGGCTCACGTAGGTTATCCGTTGTAACTCACATGTAAAAAGCTTAATAGCAGTATAGTGCCTTGTAAAGGCGGTCCAAACGAACGAAGACGATCATCCAACGATTGCAACGCTCCACAAGGCTACATACGGGATGCTTCTCTTTGGGACTCCACATAAAGGGCTAGTGGTAAATGATATCGAAAAGATGCTGGCTAGTCGAGATAACCACCCGCGGAGCGCGCTGCTTCAGCAGATCAGAGTCAAGTCCGACTTGCTAGAAAATCAGCTGGCCGATTTCAAGAATCTGGTCCGAGACCGGAAGATTGTAAGCTTCTACGAAACAGGGCAGACTAGGCAGCTTCAATTTGTAAGTTAATATGGTATACATAGCACCTTGGAGATGACTGACACTAGTAATAGGACAGTGACAGCCAACGCTGGGAAAGAACTGGCGACTTCATTACCAAGGTGGACAACGACTCGGCTCTTCTTCAACTCCCCGACTTTATGGAGGACAAGATCCCCCTAGACTCGGATCATTCAATGATGGTGAAGTTTGATAATAGAAATAATATAGGGTACACCAGTGCGCTGCATAAGCTTCAAGAGTTTGAGCAGGAGGCCTCTAAGGTGGTGAAGACTCGGTTTTGTAAGTAGCTTAAGTGCTTCTCGCCGGTCCTTTGTAAATCAAAGACGGTCTTTATTCAATCATCCTTGTGCTTGATTTTAGCTAATACCAACTTGTAGCGCCAGTCCAAAGGACTTCAACCGTGAAGTGTAGGTTTAGCTGCCCTCGGCAATATCTACGAACTACTAACCAAGAGTCTAGATTTTGTGCCCTACACAAGTAATCCAGACTTTGTGGGACGATCAGAAATCCTTGAAATATTAAAGGACCAGCTGGGGCATACACGACAGGCGAGTAGCACATCTCAAGCAAGAGCATCATTATATGGCTTAGGCGGGACTGGGTACGTTGTCACAAACGTTCTGGTTTATGATGTATGCTAACAGGGGATAGTAAAACGCAAATCGCATTGGAATATGTATTCCAGCTACAAAAGACACACCCTACAGTTTCCGTTTTCTGGATTCATGCTAGCAGTGCCGCCCGATTTCGCCAAGCGTTCGCATCTATCGCACGAGAGTACGACATCCCTGGCTACGCAGAACCTAAGGCTGATATGCCACTATTAGTGAAAGGTTGGCTGGAGGAGAAGGACCACGGAGAGTGGCTCATGGTCATTGACAACGCAGATGACATGCAACTTTTCTCTGGCCAGCCTGCAGATACTGCTACAAGCCCCAGCAAGGCGACAGATGAGAAGAATCTGGCTCGATACTTGCCCGAATGTGCCCACGGTACAATTCTCATCACGACAAGGAACAAGCAGGTGGGAGTTAGGATGACCAAAGGACAGCAGCCGATAGAAGTGCTTCGAATGAATGAGGCGGAGTCAGCACAACTCCTCCGTGCGAAGCTCAAAGACATCAGCACAACCATTACTGAATTGTCAACGCTTTCTTCTCAATTAGAACACCTGCCGCTAGCGTTGGCTCAGGCTGCCGCGTTCATACAAGAAACGAGCATAACAGTGCACAAGTACCTTCAACTACTAAGAAATAGCGACAAGGACATCGTGCACCTGCTGAGCAAGGAATTCGAAACGGTGGGGCGAGACACAGAAGCTCCCCAGGCAGTAGCGCAAACATGGATGCTTTCGTTCCAGCAGATCGAGCAGCAGCACGTCTTAGCCAGCGAACTCCTCTCCTTCATGAGTATGCTCGATCGACAAGATATCCCGGCTCAATTTATATCGTATTATGCCGAGCAAGCAGGGAACGGGGTCCCGCGAGGCGAAATAGAGCTTATAGAAGCGCTGGGTATCCTCAAGGCCTTCTCGTTCGTGACGGAGGAGACTAGTGGCAGCTTCGATATGCATCGGCTTGTACAGTTGGTAACGCGTAAGTGGCTTACGAGCCGGGGCACGATTGGTCGATTCGGCACGGAAGCACTGAAGACGGTGTCAGAAATGTATCCGTTTGGCAAATACGAAACCCGAACAAAATGCGCCGCATATCTATCACATGCAAACGCTGTGTTACAATTAGATGGGCCGAAATCAAGAGATGAGAACGAAGCAAAGGCATCTCTTCTCCACTGTATTGCTGGATACTTTTACTTTGAGGGAAATGGAGTCATGCAGAGATGTTTAATATAGAGGCAAGAGAGATACGAAGAGGGTTATTAGGACATGATCACCTGGATACGCTGAGCAGCATGGCCAACCTTGCATCAACATTTTGGAGCCAGGGCCGATGGAAGGATGCCGAGGATCTATTTGTGCAAGTGATAGAGACTCGCAAGATGAGGCTGGGTGCAGATCATCCTTCTACACTAAACAGCATGGCCAACCTTGCATCAACATACAGGAGCCAGGGCCGATGGAAGGAGGCCGAGGATCTAGAAGTGCAAGTGATGGAGATAAGCAAGACGAAGCTGGGTGCAGATCATCCAGATACACTAACCAGCATGGCCAACCTTGCATCAACATACCAGAACCAGGGCCGGTGGAAGGAGGCCGAGGGTCTAGAAGTGCAAGTGATGGAGATTCGCAAGACGAAGCTGGGTGCAGATCATCCAGACACACTAACCAGCATGGCCAACCTTGCATCAACATTTTGGAACCAGGGCCGGTGGAAGGAGGCCGAGGGTCTAGAAGTGCAAGTGATGGAGACTCGCAAGACGAAGCTGGGTGCAGATCATCCAGACACGCTGACCAGCATGAACAATCTAGCCTTCACTTGGAAAAGCCAAGATCGACATAAGGATGCCCTAGCTTTGATGAAGACCTGTGCTCAAACTCAACATCAAGTCCTAGGTCCGAGGCATCCTTATACGATCTCGTCTCAGTCAATGGTAGAGAAGTGGAGAATTTAGGTTGTATATTATATAGCTATAAGTCTTGCATTTATACCCCCGCCTTAGTCACCCCCCTATGCAGCAATGCAAGAGAATAATTCTGCTAATCTTATTCACCTGATGCTTTTATTTGGGTGAAAGTTATTTATGGTCTTATGGTGGGAGGAATTGCCATCGCTTGAATAGGTAGATCATATTAATCGATCACACGGTTAAGCTTCATCAGGTTAATTAGATGTTATATCACGTGGTAGAATTTTCTGGAAGAAATATAGCATCCTCTGGCTTACCCTCCTAACAGTGTTTTCCTCCTTGGACAATTTTGGCTACTCTATGTAAACTCTAGAATGAATGTGAACGACTCTGTGAGTGATTGGTCAAGCGAAGAAGAGACTAGAAGTCACCTTTCAGACGTTTCATGCCTGCTTTTCTCGATCTTTCAAGCCCCGCGTCACCTTCCGTAAAGCATATCATGTAACAAATCATGTTGGGCTTGGGAAAGTAGCATTGTGATTCATGCGCTGGCGTAGTATTTGGGTCATGATGTGCACGGCCCTTCATAAGCCATAGATTAGCCAAAACTGGAGGGGCAGAAATGCTAGTGCCACCTTTGACATTAATACTGTGTAATATTAGAATTCGCACTGTAATTAGCCACAATCTTCTATGGTCCGTGCGGAGAAATTTACTTAAAAATTAGACAACTGCGACACTCTTTACGACAATTACTGTACATAGATCTCATTCGCACTATTATAGTTATAATTTACTGCCGCATCCTGGTTTTATATATGCAGCCAATTTCAGCTTCTGCGTCTATGTATCTGCTTTTTATATCGCCTGTAGCGTCGAAATTAGTGGTATACTGCATTCACGAGACGGGTGTCTTCTGTTATCCACAGTGTGGGTAAAAATGACACTGGCTTTTAGTCATTTCGTCCAAACGTGGCTGATCTAAAATCTTAGTTCACTATGAATAAGTGGACGCTGAACTTGAACTGGGCTGTAGCTGCATAAAATTATGAAGTCTTGCTGTTATGTACTGTACATGTACTCCGTAGTATCCAGGAATTCCACTTGTCTAGATCCTCTCTGTCTAAATATATCTTGGCAGCTTGGCCGTTTCTTCTGAGGGGTCCAAATGACCATCTACAAAAGGGGTTACGCGTCCTACAGATGTGTAAGTACTCTAGCAATAAAGCTGGCCAAAAGTGACAAGCTACTACATTCTGCTAAAAATAAACCGCGCTATAATCATTATCTAATGAAATCCGCGACACGTGTGTCGTGTAGTGAGTCAATTTGCAATCTTTCTCGTTTACACATGTCTATGTAATATTACAGTACTGTACTGTAAATATTGCAATGAATTATCAAGAAAGACCAACATCAAGTATCTATTCCGACTGTTTTGAACTAGATGCCCTAGTCAGCAGGTTATCTGATGAAGCTGACACTCAAGAGCTCTACGCCATACAAGCCCTGCAGAATGAACGCGATGCATTAAGCCGAGAGGTAGAAGCGAGGCGCACAATATGGAATACAATCTACCACGTGCTCATCGAGTCGGCTGATGTTGCAAGTAAGATAGCCGCACTTTGTAAATTTGCCTATGATCGTATAGAAAAAGAGAGAAACAAGTGGCTAGCAAACCGTAATGCAATTTAAATGCAAACCCTCTAGGTTGATTGACTGCGCTTCGCAAAGCACCTCTGTAGCAGCCTCTTCTCCTGCAACGCAAAAAAACATTGAGTGCTTCATTTAGTGTGAAACTAGTTTACATGCCTGTGGTAATAAATACCAATGTCATCTTATGGATTAAGAAGCTTTTATAGGCGATATAATTTATACTCTGTCCACTTACGCCCTGGGAGTCAAAATATTGAGTATTACCATCAAAAGCGGCGAAAACTGCACGCGCCACCGCGATCTGCTGGTCTTCCGTGTTTATAATGAATGATGCACGTGATCTTTGTTTGTATATGTATCGTATGTAGCGGGGAATTTTAACCAAACACAAAAGTAGCAACATATTGACATGTTTACAACTTGCCACAACGTGTACTGTAGAATAGCCCTATATAAGAGCAATCACTAGTATGTAACCAACGTACAGGAATTATATGAACTATAAATATAATTTAAAAGCACTAAAACTTTTTATTCAATACCAGAAATCATGTATTACTCTGTTGTAAAGCTTTTTATCGTGTTGTATTTCGCTGTCCTAGGCAATGCGACCTGTGCCACTTGGATTAATATTTGGGAGGTATATCGATACGATACAGTAGATGAGGCAGTTAGGGTATTAGGGCTACCTGATTATGAGATTATTAAACAACTAAATTCAGGATTGGATATTGAATTTGTTTCTCCAGAGCAGCAGGTTACAGTACCTTATATAAGCCCTGTCTCTTCTCCAGGAACATGGATAACCAACGGCTGCTCACATACTCTCTATCTACGGGATATATCAACAACTGATCTTCCAAACACACACCAAGACACACAAACTACAGCTTCAGTTAGTAAATTCACTTCAATTGTGAATCAGCAGCCGTCATCAACATCCGGTATATCACAGGATGGTAATACATCTTCGACCGCTAAATCAGGTAGTGCAACTACAGTTAGTCAGTCAAGTAGCACCAAAGAACAACAAAATTCTGCTCAAACGCAGCCTCATTCTTCTATACAGCCATCTTATACTTCACCTACACCATCAAGCAATATTGCAACACAAACAGCCCCTACATCAACTTCACCCTTTTCGACAGAAGCTTCATCACCCCGGTGTTACAATCCTGGAAACTTCTACACACACAATGAGACACAGTTAATGTATGCTCAAGACTTTTGTAGTACAGATGCTAGTAGTTTTTATAATGAGACCAGTGCACCTATAAGCATTGTAACTTTAGTACAGGACGACAAAGAACATTTTTATTGGTATTCTGTTGAATGGCTTCCAAATTGTCAGGCGAGTGGACATAACCAGCAATTTGATTGGATTAATAATTGTATTAATGTAATGAGACAAAATTATCTACTGTGTAACAATAGGGGTCAGGGTGGATATACTGACTCCGATTGTATAAGATATGACTATAGGCCAGTAACTCCTACAACACACACTTCGCAGCTAGCCAAAACTACAGGGTAAACTCTCAAATATGCCTAGAGTTGGTATTTTCAACTACAATCTTTATTATGTAAATTTAAAACAATTTTTTGTATCCTAGTGTTCAAAGAGTAGCCCGGCTAACGCCTTATACTATCTTACTATATTTACCCATATTATGTATAAGTACAATGACAATAGCCTGTGCCATGGTTTGATTAATAAAGGCCAGCTTTGGTTGTGGGAGCATGAGAGGAAAGAAAGGAAATGGGAGATTGGGAGGTTCACACGTACCGATCCGCTAGCGCTGGGATTGTCCTGGCTATGTTACAATCTTCTACCCGTACCTAAGGGATACAACCATTACTCAAAATTACATGTCCACAAATGGTCGCGACCTTGTTGGTAAGGTAGTTTAGAAAGCTCGCGGCACCTCTTGGATATTACTCCAGTAGGAGCCATTTGCGGACTTGTAGATAACCGCGGGCGCTAAAACTACTCCAGGGCGGCTTGTAAATGCCGCAGCGTATGTAAAATATTTGCATATATGCTCATATAATACTGCACAGTCGTGTTGTCAAGCTCTCTGTTAGATACTCATGTTATCTGTGTATTCCGTCTGATCTCACTCTCTGGGTATTATTTCAGCTTGTGCGCCTTGACGTTCGTGGTTCCACAAACCCTGTTCTGTCTTTATTCCTTTAAGTGTTGGCACTCACGCTCACAAGGAAAAGCGGACATTACAAAGATACCATGGCTGAGTTGAATAACCTCAAGGGACCAAATTTGTATCCAAGACGTAAGCCCGTCAACCCCAGCCAATGGGGAGTGGCAGCTCCATGCAGCAGCGAGCAATTCAAATCGGACGATAACAAGCACAAGCCGTTAGCAAAACAATGGCATCGTAAGTGTTCTATAAGCTATGTGACTTTGGTAAACATTCATTCATATTATTTAGACTATTTAAGCATTGAATCTGCAAATCGTATGCCGTCATCATTGAAACATGTTGTCACACATCTCCAGGACCCACACGTCATCTCGTTAGGCGGAGGCATTCCTTCTGCGGATTTCATCCCGTTTGAGGAGATTACTTTTAGACCGCTCTCTCCCATAAGTTCAGGCTCTCAAGATAGAAAAGCTCTTTCGACAGTAAAGACCACGCTTTATGCCACCAAGCATGACATTACCGAAGGCGCCAGCATATATGATCTTACGACGGCATTGAATTATGGCCAAGGCTGCGGCTCCGCTCAGTTTCTACGCTGGGTCACTGAACATACAGAAATGGTACACAATCCACCGTACGCTGATTGGCGGTGCTCAATGACAATCGGAAATACATCGGCACTCGACATGTGTTTGCACATGCTAGCTCAGCAGGGTGATTGCGTTTTAACAGAAAAGTACACCTTCTCTACTGCCATCGAGATGGCCCAGCCTTTGGGGCTAAATTTTATTGGTCTTGAGATGGACCATGAGGGTATCTTGCCGGAGAGCCTCAGCGAAGTACTCAGTAACTGGAATCCTGAACTGCATGGCAATGCGCGCAAGCCATTTTTGCTCTATACAATCCCGACAGGCCAAAACCCGACTGGAACTACTCAAAGTTTTCAGCGACGTCAAGCTGTTTATCAAGTCGCCCGGGAACACGATTTGCTGATTTTAGAGGACGATCCATACTACTTTCTCCAGATGAACGAATACGCCTCTTCCAATGAGGGCCATAGTGGAACTGGCATTCGATCATTGGAAGATTTATTCATGAATCTCATCCCATCGTATCTGAGAATCGATACTGATGGACGGGTTATCCGCATGGACTCCTTTAGTAAGGTGATTAGCCCTGGAGCCCGCCTGGGCTGGATAACCGCATGCCAGCAGATCATCGAACGATTTCAGTTCCATACAGATGTTTCAACCCAAAGCCCTTCAGGCTTAAGCCAGTTGGCATTTTTTAAACTTTTGGATGATTATTGGGGGCATGCTGGTTATGTTAAATGGCTGATCCATCTACGTAACGAATACACTAAAAGAAGGAATGTTCTAATCAGCGCTTGTGAGAAACACTTACCAAAAGATGTCATTAGCTGGGAGCCTACTCACGCTGGGATGTTTGTAAGTAAAATTCCCCAATAATTCACTTTGCAGCCACTGATCGTCAAACAGCAGTGGTTTGAGATAGACTGGCAAAAACACCCCAATGCTTCACATAAATCCCTTCATCTTTTGGAAGAAGAAATCTGGGAGGAAAGTATCTTCGCAGGAACGCTTCTCTGTAAGGGTAGCTGGTTTTGTGCATCAGCTAGGAAAGGGACAGATAGAATTTTCTATAGGGCAACCTTTGCAGCTGCTCCTTTACATAAGATCGAAGAAGCTATTGGCCGGCTTGGAAAGGCGTTGAGAAAGGCTTTCAGACTTGAGGAAGATATTACGTTTTAAAAGAAAAAGTATAGAAAGTATTTAAATACTATTGTTATAATTGGAATTATTTTATTATACAGCACTTGAAAATAAAGTACTAACAATAAATATTATAGTTTTACTGGTATACAGTTAGGAGCGAAATAGCCGTCCTATTAAAACCAATTCTCTAGCGATCCATCTAGGATGGCTCACTCTAAGGGCTGTGATCCTTCCCTGATTGGCCCATCGGTCCGTAGTATATCCGGGGTACGTATCTTATGGTTTCAGGTTGTAACACAGGTACTGGCGCCGCGGGGCCTAGCAGCGGCCAGTACTGGCTGTGAGACCCACTGTAGCCTGATTCAGCAAGAATCGGCTCTCTTTCCTTTATTATATTCATTAGAGGGGGTACATACAGTGATCTGTAATTAGCATGTCTGTAAGTGGTATATCTGAAAATGCGTGGTTCCCTAGATCTAACATGTGATATTGTACAATTATGGTTCCTATTTCAATGAACATATCTCTTCCTGATTCATCCGAGCTACCAAGGCAGGATGTGGACACATTCGAAACATTTCAACGCCGTTCAGATCAGACTTCTCTTAATTCATGGAAAGAGAGCCAAGGATCAATTCTTGCATCGGAATCTTGTTCTCGTCTAATAAAAGTAAGGATGAAGCCTTCAGGAATTGTTAATGGAAAAATAATGTACTGTAACAAATGAATTACAAATATACGCCTTATTGGCTCATTTTGTGATGGCTTGAAACTGAAAATATTCTACATGATAAACCCAGAGGGTAGAGAAACATTTACATAAGCCTTGGGTTGTACGAATATGCAAGGAACTTTTTCATTTGCCTGCCATACCTTGCAGATTTCATTAGTCTGATGGCCTTGCATGCTGAGTATGAGTCGCACAAGCCCCTTTTATTCTCATTTGACGAGTAATTTATTCGATTATAATGGTCATGTTCACGCTGAATCCTTCCCTGTAACAGCCTTAAAATGCCATACTCAAATTGGACAGTCCCTTTTGAGCCTTGTGCCGCTGCAAGCATAGAACCACGCCACCCGTAAAATACTGATTTTGAATTGACAAACCAGGGGTGTAATTCACGAATTACCTTTAGTCAAAAGCGCGACATAGGTACATTAGAGCAGCCCCTGAGCCATGAAGAGAAAGGCCGAAGAAGAAGCCACAAGTGCTGATGATACTGTACTGAGGACTTGAAAGCTCAACTGGATGCCGAGAATTTGAGGCGCACTGTAAAAGGCGACGGGGTTCATCGCGAACTTCAGATGAAGTCAGAAGGAAAACGCGTGATGAAGGAAACCAAAATGAGAAAAGAGAAACAAACAACACAGTTTTGTCGTTGCAAATGAAATGAACAATCTGACACCACTAAGAAAGTCGATAAATAGCTCTGCATATTCTGCATCATGTGTGTCAAGATAATGCTCATAATGCTTTGAGTTTAATTCGTTTTATCACAGGGTTGACCTAAACAAGTGTCCGCTTTATAATTCTACTAAAATTTCGTTAAGCATAGACTAGTTCCGACACATGTGGCTTATATTGTTTTCTTACTGTGAGCTAAAGTACCTGTCAGATTGTCATAATGTGGGTTACATATGCAGACCCCATCTCTGCCCTACTACCCCTCCATGCTACGACCCCTCCATGCTACGACCCTCCATGCTACGACCCCTCCAACGTGCAGCCGATTGCACTCTTGCTGCTGTTACAGTCTGTTTTTGATCCTTTAACCATAGCCAAGAAAGGCTTATTGTGGAGTAAATTAATGGCACGGCAGTTAACCAGCATTAAACATAGGCATATTTAGGTTTTACTTCTAACCGAGAAATAGACTTGTAAAATGGCTAGAAAGGCTGAGTGTAGTGAGCGCATTATTTGCTGAATCCGCTTAAACGTATGGCGCGATTCGGAACCACCCGACCGCCGCCAAACAGAACCTGTCGCTACGTAAGCATCACGGCATGTATACGAGATGCATTATGAAATAAGCTAAATAGAGAATTATGGATGTACAGTCAAAGGCGAAACGGATGTCGCGAATTAACTAGATAAAGATTATAAAAAGGGTCCATTTTAGTTGAATTATGGCTTAATACCCCCGTCGTTTTTGTACTTAATAAGTACTAGTACAATCCGCAAAATAATAACTAGTGGAAAAAAAATCACTTTTTGGACAATCACTAATAGATACGTTTCTGTTTTAGCTCTGTTGGTTGATGTTCTAGGTACTTCTAGTACTTTGGCAATACAATGCCCCGGCGCGCCCTAGCGCTGTACTAAATCAGCCACAGTTGTATTAAATGCTCGCTTATTATAATTAAGTATAGACACGACACTCATTCTTTAAAGACAATTATCGAGGAGCCAAGGTTGGCCAAAAATCTACAAAAGCATTAGTTCTAATGGCCCAGCCGGAATTCTAATGTGTTATCTTAGCGTAGTGTGCTGTGAGATCTCAAGGAAATACCCCGTTTGGTTTATACAGATCCAAAAGTAATGGCGCTAAAAAGCGCTTCCGGGATAGAAACAATTCACATTCAAAGGTCAATTATTGGAACACAGATCGGCGCTTGATGGAACATTGACAGTCGTTCGGAATGTATAAATTCCATCAATGAACTTGCATTGGCTCTTCAAATTGTTTCTCTTCATCAGTGAGGGCTACGCAAGTCCAACAGCTAGTACTTCCATTGACTGTCCCGTCGTCTCACGAAGCGATAAGGTGAATTAGAATGACTCCTTTGAAGGTTCTAATCAGCGGCAATGGAGTCGCAGGGCCAGCTCTCGCTTACTGGTTATCGCTCACCGGAGCCAAAATAACCCTTATTGAACGATCCCGTGCTCTACGGCTCGGTGGTCAGCAGATAGATATTCGCACTCCGCAGGCTATAGAATTGGTCAAGCGAATGGGCATCCTTGAGCGCATCCGAGCAGCAGGAGTTAACGAGCTAGGCATGCAGCTCGTTGACCGTAACGGCCGATCCACAGCTTTTTTTCCCGTTGCGCCAAAAGGTTCACGAGCGCAGAGCTTTACATCAGAGTTTGAGATCATGCGCGGCGAACTGGTTAGAATTCTAAATGGACTTACTGATAACAATCGAAACGTCAAACGCCGCTTTGGAGTTTCCATGGAGAGTTTCACACAAGATAGCGAGAGCAATCCTCAAGGCAAGGTCCACGTGAAGTTTGATAACGGCCGAGAGGAGAAATTTGACCTCGTCGTTGGTGCCGATGGGATTGGGTCAAAGACACGTGAAGCCATGCTAGGCCCAACTTACGACGTTTCCGATCTGCGGCGCCAGCTCGGGGGTTACGTCGGATACTTCAGCGTTCCATCCGATCCAGAAAAAGACGAGTACAAAGCAACTTTCTGCCATCTGCCGGGATCGCGCGTTATCGGGTCAAGAAAGGATTGTGACGAGCTCTTACGAGTATATATACTTCTACGAGGGGAAAATTCTGCTCTTGATGCGGCACTCAAATCGGGGGATCAGGCACAGCTAAAGTGTGCTATAGCTGGTTTGTACCAGAGCGACGCATGGCAGTGTAATCGGTTCTTGGAGGCGCTGCCTGCGGCGGATGACCTGTACTGCACGCGGATTGAGCAAGTCTGGCTGCCTGAAGGGCGGTGGTCTCAGGGCCGAGTGGCACTGCTTGGCGACGCAGCCTATGGCTATACCGCTAGCGGTTACGGCTGTGCCTTGAGTTTAGCGGGTGCCTATTTCCTAGCGGGTGAGATTGCGACATCGTACAAGGAAAATAAATCGTCACCAACAGCTGCCGTGATGAAAGGGGCTACAAACTACGAAAAAAAATTCCGACCCATCGCCGCTGCGTCGCAAAATAGTAGCCCTTGGCTTGATAGCATGCTCTATCCAAGAACGAAGATTGGAATTTGGGTTTTGCATCGATTGGCGGAACGATGGGCGAAAGTGGCGTCGAATCTGAACCTTCATCAGGCAGCAGGCAAAGACTGGCAGCTCCCATGCTATGAGCTGCAAAAAAAAAAAAAAAAGGAGGTGAAGCGCGAAAGGAGCCCGCTCCCCTGAAAAGTTCAATCTCGGACTACTATGGCAAGAAAAGCGAAAGGACGCACCTTCGAATCGTTTCTGTTGTATGCATGATGAAACAAGTCATTGTTACCTCCACTAAGAGATTTTAAAGCATGAACTACTGTAGCAGATACTAAATACAAACTCTGCCATTAAACTACCTATGACACACTTAAAAGTTTTCTCTTTTTTTTCCACTTGGAATAACTTAAAAAGAGAGAAGGGAAAAAATGTCCACTGAGATAATTTATACAATGAGCAATATTAATATACACATAATGTTCAGCTAGTCATGTCACATTGTATCTTATTTATAATCTTGCAAGTGGCGCAAATATACTGTCTTGCGAACAGAGTGCTGGGATATCAAGGTAGCGCATTCATCGTGGCTACTCTTGTATCTACGAGTTTATAAAAATGTTTGCAGTGCTTCCATGGTTTCTTTTTTACACTTTTGTAGACCTATCTCGGCCTTTTCGGCAACTCTATTGTGTTCCCACATTGTCTCTAATACAGCATTTTCTTGGGCAGCTAAAGAGGATAAGAACGACCACGCCAATCTTAATGCAGCATTCGATTTTCGTCCTCGGCGGGCACGAGACATTTGCTCTCTATATTCTTCAGAATTTTATATAATTTTATGTATCTTTTCTGTGATAAATACGGCTCGTCTGCCAATTGGTATTCTCCAGACATTATTCAGTATATAAATGTTGCGCTCTTCCATCGCGTTGATGGAAACCCGACAGCCTAGGTCTTTCTTCATGATTGACGCTTGCAAAAAACTGTTTCAACCAGCTAACATCTGTTTATAAGAGCTTGAAGTAAGCGAAATTTTAATAGGCATAGATGATGCAGAGATAGGGCGAACTTCTTGCGACATATCCAGTCGCTAAAGTACTCTTAGCGAAGATGTCTTAATACATAATTTCCCCTTTCACTGTAGTTGGAATAGCGAAGTGGGCTGTTTAGGATCGCGGAGAGGGTGGGTCACCTATCCGTATCCTCCCTTATCCGACCGTCCTAGTGTGGGCAGTAGCTGATTTCGCCTCGACTTTGACTGCATCCGAGCAGCGAGCGCTGGCATCAGGCGGTGAGGCAGCAGCGGCGGGGCTGGGGCATACAGTAAGCGTGCATGGGATAGATTGAAAAAAGAAAATATCGCAGAGAGGGGCGCCGAGTAGTCGTTCTTACTCATTCCTCTACTGCGTTCTCTCTGGTCGATTTCAACGCACGTCTCTGTTGGTCGAGAACGCCATATAATGCGGAGAGTGTCATCCAATCTAGGTCCCTGCGCCCGAACGGTGTTGGAACGAATGCAAGGCTCTAGCTAGTCTCTGAGCTAATGCAGGTGCCGTTGTCGCTGAACTAAAAAGTACAGGTACATGCAAATTGTGATAAAAAAAGGCAAAGGTACTCCGTATTACTAGTACTCAGTACAATATATAATGGGGTCGCTTAGCGTGCAGATCTGGACACCACACCAGGCGTTTCCGGCATCCTTGCCGCCATTTCCGACGCCCCCCTTTCTACATGAACTGTACGCACGCCCCTGTGCTATTCCAACCCTCTTGAATACTCTATTGACACCCTCTGAAAAGCGCTAACGGCGGCACTAACTGTGAGGCTTTGACACACGGGTGCACGCCCCGAGTCGAGAGCACCCTGGTCAACAGAAGGCGTATAAGATGAGGGAGCCACATGAAGCCGTCCTCTTACAATAGCAAGCCCATAGCAAACCCATGACTACGGAGCCCCAATGCCGTCTCATTTGTGCAGATCAGCCCAGCAGAAGTTTGTGCCTTCTGAAAGAGAAAGATGCATCTTGTCTAACAGTCCCGCCATGCGTACTAGTGCAGGAAGGTTGGTTGTTGATCGCAACAGCTGTGCTGAATTAGTTAGCTAGGAGGCCGATTACGTAGCGGTGAGAGTTTTGCTCCCCGTCTGCCACACCACATATGAAGAGAGTAAACTGTCTAGGAATGAGAAGAGCCTCCTCGGTCGCAGTTCTACTCGTCGAAATAAGGCGTCCAAAGCAAGGGGGAGTGGTGGATTGGCGAACAGGCTAGAGTGATAAGCTGGCTCTAGATACACGAGCTCTTATTTTCTTGTAACATTACATGCTAGAAGGCAACCAATGTGCTCCTTCGTGCGTTACATCTTTCACCGAGGTGTGCGGATACGGAATATGAAGCACGCCCCCTCCCCTACCGCTTTCTGAGGAAAAATTATATCATCGGTACTGTAATTCCAAGCAAACTTTAGTTATCAGGTGTCTTAAGAGGGCTAGTATTTGCTACGACAAAAAAGGAAACGATTGCCTTAGTAAAAAAAAAAAAAAAAAAAAAAAAAAAAAAAAGACGGAGCAGGCAGTTTTCGTGTTGCCTTGGAGGGTGTACCCATAACATGCCTTCTTTCTCGCTTCGCTCTCAACCCTTCAATTCTCCTGAATATCCCATCCCATTATCTCACTCACTCGGAACTCTCTTTGACTCTTTGGATATCACAAGGACGTAGTGCTGCTCTCGGATGAAACGGCCAATTCGGTGTTCCTTACTCCTACTAGCCTTGCCATTGTTTGTTTGTTTTATTATCAATGTCCACTATATAAGCTAGATATACCTTTAGGCCTGAGCTGGGCAAGAAGGACGGTAGGAGCCGCGGGAACAGAAGCCTGCGTTCGCTACGTTTCATCGCTAGCCTTGCCATGCTATTGAAGGAAATGCTGCCCTGTTCGCGCTCGTGCGCGCTTGCCATTCAATCGCGCACATATACAGACTGTGATCTATTGCGCACACGTGGATTTTGTAGACTGTCAATCTAGATTGCTTGATGGCCATAGTGGTGAAAAACAAGATTCAAGAGAGCATAGCTCCTTAAATTGAACTGCTCGCGTGTTAGTTGTACTGTATTTATTCGTATAAGCTGGAAAAAGCCTTGCATCAACATTCACAGGATAAACCCAAGAAACGCCCATTCGGGTTACTGCATCACTGCATCTATCCATCAGGGGATACGTTACTACGAATACGTACTAGTACCAAATGACACGCTGGCAATTAGGCTGCCGTGTATTATGAATTTTCTTGTGTGCCTTGACCTGAGGCCGTGCACACCAGCAAAGGCTTGCAAGGGGGAGTGGTATGCGAAGCTTAGGACGAAGGCGGCGGTCATTATTCTGAGAGTATTGCAAGTGGTTGCCTCAAAAACAGGCATCACTCGTTGGGCATGCGTTTCCTTCCTCGACCTTGTGAGCAACACAACCACACAGGGCCGAAACCCACAGGCTTTACGTTTTTACTCCTGCGTAATACGTAATTTGCCATAGTTACAATTATGGCGTTGAGTGCTATTCAAAACACATTCTCTTAGTGGCCAATATCGTTTTAATGGGATTATTTCTTCGTATTTACATTCCAGCGTAGAGTATTAATATGTTTGATGAGACCTACGAAGATGAGGAACCAACGAGAGACAATGAGCCTCCAGGAGTGTTTGACTATTTTTACATTTATTTTCATAGTCCTACTAAAGGCTACAACAAAAAGATGGGCCGGAGAGCAGATGACACGTGGAAACACACGCACCCGCCCTACTAGCATTTATCTGGAGACGAAGCTACCGCATTGCTAGCGAATGAGGCTTTCTTTGCGCTAGCTGAAAGCATTTGCTCAGGCAACTGGGGCGCGGCTCGCGCCCCAGAGATCGCTCGGGAGGGGTGGGAGGGGCTTGAAGTTGCCTTAAAACTCATCTCTATTTAAATAGAGGTAATAAATTCCTTTTTTTTTTCATCTTCCTGCTATCTCATCATAAAAAAAAAAGGAATTACCTCTATACGCCCATAGATATTTTTTCCTCATTTATTAACGCCAGCCTCGTCCACGGCGCATCGCAGGCCCCTGCCGACCATTTCTCATTCTATAAGGCAGCGTATCCTTATTCTATACTACTTTCGTTAAGCACCTGCCATTCTGTTAATATTGATAATATGCCTCGCCAACTCGACATTGCCAAAAACTGGATTAATTATCAGCGGACAGCTCGGCAGCTCACATGTGATTTCTGTCAAGAAGACATAAAGCCGCCCACAAAGGCTGGCTTCGAGCAACATGTTCGGGAATCTCCCGAAAACCATCCAAAAGAAGAGAAGGATATTTTGGATGCCTTGGAGAAGATGAAGCTGGCGTCTTCTCGAGTTCAGTGAGTTGAATAACTGCTGGACCATGCATTAACGTATACTGACCTAATTTCTCTCCTTTGCCCTCCAAAAGACCTCAATTTTCACATCAGTTTTCAGATAATGATCAAGCCAAGAGGTCCAAAAAAAGACCCGGGGGCACAACTGCCCGAGATTTGGCAGAAGGCCAGCAGAACCTTGATAATGTAAATTCGAATAATAGAGAAGGTTCTGACAATGAAAGGGACAGTAAGAAACAGCGATCTCCTAGTAACTCGCCCACGCCGCGCACTTCGCAGAGGCATAGGCGCCGGCAACAAGCTGAAAATGACAGAGACTTTGATCGCGGGACTAAAAATCTCAGCAATTGGCCGCTCTGGGCCCCAGGTGGTGCTGCCTTAGCTAAGCCCCCTCAAACGAAAACACAACAGTCTGGTCAATGGTCGAAGCAGCTGCCTCTCAGCAAAGTGGAGGAACCCGAACCAGACCCAAGGGCAGAAGCAGAGGCGGACGAATCATTTACCGAGCATCCTTCTGTGTCGCAGATGATTCGTCAACCAGAGACTCGGCCAATCTCACAAGAGCAGCTCGTTGCCGAAGTCAAAGGCATATATGCCGGCTTGGTCATGGTGGAAAGCAAGTGTATAGAGGTGGATAACGCTCAATCGTCTAATAAAGACTCGCCACAGCAGCTGAACAACGAGCAGTGGCAAGCACTTATTGCTCTGCATCGCACACTGCTTCATGAGCACCATGATTTCTTCCTCGCCAGCCAGCATCCGTCCGCCAGCCCGGCACTTCGGCGATTAGCATCCAAGTACGCTATGCCGGCGCGCATGTGGCGGCATGGAATTCACTCATTCCTCGAGCTCCTAAGACACAGATTACCGCAGTCTCTAGAGCATATGCTCACCTTCATCTACATCGCATACAGTATGATGGCCCTTCTATATGAGACTGTGCCTGTATTTGAAGACACTTGGATTGAATGCCTTGGAGATCTGGGAAGATATCGTATGGCCATTGAAGACGACGACATTAGAGACCGGGAAACCTGGACAGCAGTATCTCGATATTGGTACTCAAAAGCCTCAGATAAACTACCGACCACAGGGCGTCTCTATCATCACCTAGCTATCCTCGCTCGCCCCAACGCGCTGCAGCAAACCTACTACTACACAAAGTCTCTGTGCGTCCCTATACCATTCTTGAGTGCTAGAGAGAGCGTCATGACTCTATTTGACCCTGTCTTGAGCTCAAGCCCGCCTCGTTTGGAGCTGATTGACCTTGCCTTTGTACGAGTTCTGGCCATATTTTTCTCTGGAAAGGAAAAGCATGAATTAGGACCTGCGGCTGAGCAATTCTTAAGCCTCCTGGATGGACATATTGCCAGGACAAGAAAAAGCTGGCTAGAAGCTGGATATTATATGGGCATATCTATAACATGCTCTCTCTTTAGATTTGGTAATGATTCCAATGTCCTGAAAAACGCCATTACCCCCAAACGATCTGACGATATGGACATTACGGGCGAAGTGATTTCTCCGGAAGCCATCCCTACTGATGTGTTCCATCAATCGCTCTCATTTGCTGTGCAGACTCTTGAGATAGTTATTCGGCGGTGGGGAGATATGAATATACTACCCTTTCTTCATACGCAAATGGTGTTTCTACACCATTTGTCTAAATTCCCCTCTGCTATAAAGTTTATTGAGCATAAGTATCCTTGGAGGCTTATAGCAATAATGCTAAATTACTTGAAACAATCCTGCAAATTTAAGCCTTGCATGGACAGCAAAGTATTCCCAGGAGCAGAGAACCAGGATCACTACCGGCCTCTTCCAGAAGATTACGCTATGCGTGGCTTAATTTATACAGAAGAATACTTTCCAGTAAAATGGTTTGCTGGTGAAGCAGTTGAAGAGGATGAGAAATATTTTGAACAAGCTTTAATGGTAGATTCCAGAAAGGAAAGGATATTGTGGATCGGAAAGCAGATTTCTTCCCTGAACAAATGGCTAGTCTGGGATGAAGAGAGTGCCAAGTTCACTGTGCCAGAGGAGTTTGATATTGATTTCGCTGCTAGATCACCTGCGATGGGTGCTAAGGAGATTGTAGACCTAGGGGCTGGTCCGCACGATACCTCTCGTCATGCAGATTGAATCTCACATATGGCTTCGCTTTGTTGGCATAACTTCGTGTTTTACGCTTTGATCTTAGGTATAGGGCGCCGGAAGTTTATTGCTTCCTATTTTTTCTTTCTTTCTTTCTTTCTTTCTTTCTTTCTTTCTTTCTTTTCAGCTACTTAATATCCTCTGACCATTTATTTATAAACCAGCAGTTTACCGCTGCCTTCCATAGAAAGAGGAGAGAATAGAATAAAGTCACCGTTTAGATCAAGAAACTCGTAAATATCCCTCGCCGTAAACGACTGTAGTGACCGTACAGCGTGATTTTGACCTTTAATTTTTTTTTTTTTTTTTTTGCAGAGTGGGGGGGTGGCAGGAACCTGCTGGTCGGACTGTAACATAGGATTGAGGCTTGGACAAAACAAATATCGCAAAAAACAAAGTGTAATCCAGGAGTGCTTGCGGGCATAAGACACAGCGAACACCGTGAGCCATCCGCAGCAAAAACCTCATCTTGACACATTTGAGCAAGATATGCTAAATATATATTTACTACAGCTTCTTCAATTACATATTTAGGAAATCGTTTAGAATTTTGTATTTCAAAAGGCTCTCTAAAGCATTTCCAGGAATAACAAAATTAAATACTTAATCCCGTGTTTTAAGTTTATTTAATATGGGATGGCTTATGCAGTATCCAAGCAGGCGTATTTGGTATCCAAAAAAGCAGGCTTGTAAAGGGAAGTTCTAATACTTTTAGCCACTATAATACAGCACTTGTCCACTATAATACAGCGCTCATTCACTATATTACAGGGTCTTCCACTATAATATAGCTCTTATACGCTATATTACAGCACTTATTTACTATAATATAAGGCTTTTTATTCTAATATAACACTTATCTGCTGTATCCCAGCACTTATCCACTATACTACAGCATTTATATACCATAATATATAAAAAGAAAATTCCAAAAGTCTTTATTCTACTAATTTTCTCTTTTTAAATTCATTATAAAAAAAGAAAAGTATTTGTGACGAACCTTACACTAGATAGTTAGTATATGGTAGATTCCCAAAGGGCAAACCTAGAATAAGTTCTTCGGGTTTATGTTGGCGGATAGGTTAGGAAACCTGTGGGCAAATAATATCACAATGATAGTCACCAGTAGGTAAGAGTTAGAAGTGCATTCCAATCTTGATTCTGTGGTTAACAACTGGCTAGCTAAGTTATCTAAATGAGCGTAAGAAGTGAACTTATATATCCAGTTGGTCTGGATGGGATCGAAGGGATAATCTTCGATCTTCTTGGGGATCAATCTTTTGTTTATTGATCCAGTGTTGGATCGATGAGCGAGTCCTCAATCCATTCCTGATTGGCTCAACGGATTATAGTTAATCCGGCCGTGCCTACCCTGTAGGCCCATTGTTGCGACGCATGAGAGTCAAGTCGTAACAGTATTAACTTAAGTATTATTATATATATCAAATTTTAAAGGGTGTAGAGAAAGAGGAATTGCTTTTACAAAAAAATAATATAAGCTATTGGATAATCAGTTGTCAAGTGCTTTTCAGCTAAATGCCTTACTTATGGTTCACGGTCAACACATCTGGATATCTGTGGCCTGCAGGGCGTGAGAAAAATAGCGTACGCTAACATTGCGCGCAGGCCAGCCAGCCTGCGCCTGATATGGCAGATGCAAATGAATCTGGGCCTAAAAGGGCCTCAGCTAATTCGAATACGCCTTAGCTGGCGTATTCTTTTTACCACATGCCAAGGCATTTGTGCCCAGCAGCCTTTGATATCCGGCGGATGATCAAACCCGCCTACGACAATTCGCCTTCGATATTTAGCGCAATCCTGCCGTCGTAATCTCCATTCTTTTCCCTCTGTAAATCAGATTCATCGCATTAACATTGGTGTTAAGCCACTTGAATAGCTTTTTAAAATTGTGTTCATATCTAGTACATATGTTAAGTACAGTAGTCTATATTCTAAATGAGCAACAAAAGGTTAAGACGCCAATGAATTACTATAGCTGCATGCAATTTGTATACTAAACCCTATAACTGAAGCTGTTCTGATTGAGAACACTTAATTGGCTACTGCTAATAGTGTAGATACACAGTAATAAAGCATTATTGCTTGATGCAGCTAACCCTTTTAGTATACCCACACGAGACTGTTCAGCCAATAGATTAACAAGGTCCATTAATGGCTTACTATGCTGAAAGCATTTAAGTTGTCATACAGATAACTTTGGCAGATTTTGGCCAATTATGTAAATGCTACCCAATTCAGTTTAGGTAATATTAAATAGCCAAAAGCCAATTCCGACTTCTTAATGGAAATGGTGTACTGTACTCCCTCATTTTAGTTAGGTAATAATTGTATTTCTGGCTGCTGTTTGTTGACGATGGAATAAGTATACATCAGGCGCAATGAAGAAAATGAGTCATATGAATTCAGCGCCCATTTCCTAACTTTTGCTGGTAAAGGCTATGCGCTCTTTTGATTCGATACCGCTTCCACCGATCATGCATCTGTGATGACGTGCATGCTATGTACATATATTAGACAGTCAATTAAGCCGTGCAACAACTTGGCACAAGGTTCAGTGGAATGCATCAGATCCTTTACCAGCTCTTTTACATCAGCAAAGTCCATTCATATGCTATTCCCCGCCATTTCATCGCGGGCTACCGTGGAGTTTGCTCTACTCTCCTGGGCAGTCCAATCAGCTTTAGGGGCGACGTTTGAAAACTTATGCCGTCATCTGGAGCAAAATTTGCGGATTGAAAATGCAACCATAAATTTAGTACAATATGTCCCGAGCGAGAGTACTTTACTCTTTCCAGATAACGTATTTATCCCCCCACCTTTTCTTTCTTTCTTTCTTTCTTTCAGCTCTGTAAATACCTTCCGTTCTAATGAGTCTTCCCAGGACATCAGCTGCAATCGATCATCGCAAATTGTGGCGGCAGATATTTGCAGAATAGCATTATTCGTGGGAACCTCTCCGTCCAGCGGGGTCCAACTCGAAGCTTGGCTTCCTCGCAATTGGACAGGAAGATTTCTAAGCACTGGAAATGGTGGATTATCTGGATGTAAGTGCATAAATTAAACGCTCTTTGCCCTGACCTTTCTCATCGCATTTTTGTATAGGTATCCAATATGAGGATATGAATTATGGCACGGTATTTATTAGCCTCCTAAAGTACAACCTATGAGATTTACTTACATATTAAAGTCGTTGGGATTTGCTACTGTGGGTACGAATAATGGACATAATGGGACTTCAGGGCAAGCTTTTCTTAACAATCCCAATGTGATCAAAGGTAAGATCCTCAATATGGCCAAATATATTCTAGTATTAACATAAACGGCGCCAAGATTACTCATATGGATCGTACGTCAAATATTCCAACTTCAATATCTACTCAATGCTGAAAATAATAGGGTTCATACCGGCGCAGTGATTGGAAAAACTATCACTAATGCATTTTACGGCCGAAACTTCACAAAATCGTATTATATAGGCTGCTCAACAGGTGGGAGACAAGGTTTCCAATCTGCGCAGATGTTCCCCAGTGATTTTGATGGCATTGTTGCCGGCTCTCCAACTCTCGATTTCACACACCTCACTGCGTGGGCGGGATGGCTCGGCATAGTAACCGGCTACAACACCAACGATTCCGGATTTGTTTCCCCAGCCCTATGGAAGACAATTCACCAAGAAATACTGAAACAGTGTGATAGTTTGGATGGTGCTGTTGATGGGTATGTAATGGATATGCCATCCACCGCCGTTCCGTGTGGGACTAATATAATTCTAGAATCATTGAAAATCCTGATCTCTGTTATCCAAATTTGGATATCCTTCGATGCAATCGCCGATTGACTCATAACTGCCTTAACAGCGAGCAATTACGGCGTGCTAGTGGAGTATTCGAGCCGTTTACTTACTCCAATGGTTCGCTCATATTTCCGCGAATGCAACCAGGGAGTGAACTTGAGTCATCAGACACCTTTTATAGTGGTCTACCATCACCTTATGTCTATGTATGTCATGAAATTAAATAAACAATTGAATCTAAAACTAATTTTCTGATTTACCAGGAGTGGTTTCAGGCCGTGCATGGCAACCCTGCATGGAGTGCACTAAATCTCACTCTAGCAGATGTAACTTTTGCTCAACAATTAAATCCCTTTGGAATAAATACTTGGAACGGGGATCTTAGCAGCTTTAATGCTTCAGGTGGTAAACTGCTACACTACCATGGCTTGCAGGACTATCTAATCTCATCCGAGAACTCCGCACGCTATTATAATCTTGTTAGAGAAACAATGTCTAGAACACACGTTGAATTGGATAATTTTTATCGATATTTTCGTGTCTCTGGAATGGGACATTGCCGCCATGGCCCTGGTGCCTGGATGATTGGGCAATCCACCATAGGGAGAACGGGGATTGATCCAAAGAGTAACGTGCTGATGGCAATAGTTGAGTAGGTAGAGAAAGGCTCGGCTCCTGAAACTATACGGGGTCTGAAGTATCGTGATGACGACCCGAAGGCTGAGATTTTGCTCACAAGGAGACATTGTAGGTACCCATATCAGAATCGGTATACGGGTCCTCAGCCTCTAAGTGACGACGAATCTTGGACTTGTATGCTTTAAAGGAGTATTGACAAAGTGGCGGCAATAGATGTCAAAATCACATGTTAGATTAGGGAAAATATTAAGGGGTTTATGTCCGTAGCCTGAGTGTGTTAACTTCTACCTATAGACCCTACTTGACGTTGTTAGGTATCGGTCAGTGACTTGGCCAAAATACTAAAGTTACGCATTATGATATGAATCGGTGTACTACCCTAAGCGCAGTTCGATTAAGCAGTGTACCATGTCTCTTAGTCAGGGTAATATCAGCTGCTTCAATTAGATCGTAGCCTTTATATATCTTCCGTTGCTACAGTCTGAAGTTGATGCTAAACTTAAGCGCTGTGTGAGATTCTGGTGGTAAGCCTTCAAGGGGGTTAAGGAGGAGAACGCCTTTATTTATAAGCAGGAAGTATCTCCCCCCCCCTCTCTTTTTTTTTCAACTATATAAGAGCCTTCCCCTCCTCCTCACAGGAATTCGCAACCACATTCATCACTCCACCTCCATAACGTCTATTCTTTCACGAATCCTCAATTTTATTAATATTATATGCCATGTCTAAATATCGTCGAGGAAGAGCGGACGCAATCGCGAATCGTTTGCGGATTGGACAACAGAAATACGAAGAAAAGATGAAAGCACTGAGAGAAAATGACGCGCAAATTAATGAAATACTACGTCAAATCTGGTATAATTTAGGGAAGCTAGAGAGAGATCTCTCGGTTGATCATCAAGATCAGCACCTACCATCAAACCACAAAGGTGCCTCCCGCATGTTAGCTGCACCTGAATCTAGGTCCGAGTCCACCGAGCCTAGATTCAAAGCTAACTCCAATGACAATCCTAAGCCTGAGGGTTGCAGTTATGTTTCTCGAAGTTTAGGTAAGAACATGAATAGAAGAGAAAAGAAAAAAACGCTTGGATCAAGCTAACTTTACTTTAATTGTGCTAATGGATATTGACTACATTAGAAGACACTCGTGATTCTCGATCGTTGGAAGTTATCGAAGACCCTACAATAGACTGTCTAGATCTTGGAAGCACCGGTGGTATAGATATATAAAGCAACGACAGCCCACAAACAACACTAAAAATAACAGAAAGCAAGTCATTAACCTGGCAAACCTTTTAGTGAAGTAAATATAACTAACCAAAATGAAGATGCTACTTTGCTTCAATCTTGTAAACCAATGAAGAAGATTGGGTCACGGAGGTGCAGCATATTTTCTGGTGCTGAGAGAAGGGTTTTGAAGAAGCCGTATCGAAAAACTGAATATTCTGAAGAAGACGATCGATCATATAAATTTCCTTGCACTGATCAAGTTGGGACTCGGAATGCTATATTGAAGCTTTCGATCAGGAGGTTGGAGACTTATAGCAACCAAGAAGGTTTTGGAGAAAATTTCAGATGATATGAAGCTGTTGCAACGGCTTGCAGGCAAAGCTACATAGTATATAGCTAAAATATACTTAATCGTGTAGTCTCATAAAATAAAGAAGGCTTCTACATTTCTATACTCTCTTTGCAGTAAATTGGGCAAATTATCAGGTACACATTGAGTCACGAATCCAAGTCCTGTGAAAATAACGAAACCGCGAAAAAGAAACAATTTCTTATGAAGCATGAGATACCTATCTGCAAGGCATAAATAGAGAAGCTGTTAAGCAAGGGTAGGCCAAAGAAGGTCCAGCAAAACTTCGCTGTAGAACATAAAGAGAAAGTTTGCGGTAGGCTAATCAAGAAGCTCGCGTAATCCGTGACATGAAGTAAATTCATGATACGTCTTTTATTTTGTATGACTTCTGAAAGCAGCTCCTTAAAACCACTACACCGTAGCCATCTTCAATCATATTTATGGCAAATTTCATACCCAGATTTCCAAGCCCAATTTGTTTTCAGTCGGTTTCCCTCCAGGAAATGCCATATCAAAACTTCCCCAATATTCTTAAATCAGTCGTATTGTATTAACTCTGAGTGTAACAGTGGCTATAATATTCCTTTAAGTAAGAGATAAGTCTTTAAAAACATTATTAAAGGCGATCAAGTATACACATACTGAGAAACAGGTGTAATGCCACTAGGGCCTTGAGAGGCTTCAAGTCTTTCGGCAGGAGTTAAAGGAGTCACCCCGTTTTCAGACTGTTGACTGTTAAGAGCTACTCGCTGGCTGCCGTCGCCGTTTATTAAAGGGAATGTAAGCACCTTTAATGCACTAGGGAACGACAGCGAGCCAGGAGCGGTAGAGGCCTTTACCTGGGCAGCATTGGCCGGGTGCGTTTGAATGCTCTCTATGATTGTTGTAACTGTACATCAGATAATTAAAGTCTGCGGCGATGCTGTAACCTTAGTACTACGTCGATCTGATCACAAGTTAAATAATATGTTCAATATTGCGTGGGAAGATATATACAATGAATCTTATAAATAATCCCCTTTACAAGCACGCATAGGAGCGATGGATCGATATTAGTAAATGAGATTAAAAGAAAATTATAACAGTTAAAACTTATAAAACCATGTGGGTTAGGCAGGCTTGTAGGCGTGAACGCCATATTGCAACCTGGATCATTCCAAATCCCTCCCAGTCAGCATATTAAACCCTGGTAATCTCACAATCTCTGATATCATGGGTTACAGGGGGTAGAAGGTCATTCATTACTTAATATCTCAGTTCAAACGGCATAATGAGGCTAGCTTAGATTTGAACGGATCCTCCTTGAAGCCCCTGTTGGCCATTTGAAAAGGGGTAGCCCAATGGGGGCAGGCTTTTTAGGCCCTATTATGCAAAGTAGCCTTGGCCAGATGGATTTACTCAGCTCTATCAGATGACAATCCTCTCTCAAACTATGAGACCTGGCGAAAGCAGTTTTGAGAGGATGAAGTACATCCACATTATACTCTCTTTCAAGCCATTCCATCTCGCCCGTCATTACAAATCAAACAGGGTTATGAATAATAAATAGCTAGGCAGCTACCGTGAAAAGCAATACAGGGGGTACATTTGACTATTTAAATAATAAAACCTTCTGCCACAATTTTTCTCGATTTCATCCGTAGTAAAAAGTCCACTATTATTTTCACCACAGCTATGGATCATCTCAAGCAGCCAGCCGACTTTCAAGAGCATTATGCCACGAGGCTAAATAAAATCCTCTCAAATATGCCTCAAGCCCAAGCCTGGGAGATCGATAACAGGCACTTAATTAAGTTCGCCGAAATACTTGAAGTCTTTCCGATCATGATGTTCGAAAATATAGAATTGATTGTCAGAAATCATCGAGAGCATGGGAAAGAAACTGATTTTTATTTTTACATGCTCTGCGTGGGAAGTTATCATATACAACCACATTCGAATATCATCATGCATTATGTCGAAATGCTCCAGTCGAATGAGAGCTGGCGTCCTGCAAATGATGGCATGCAAGCCGAATTATCTCTTCTAAAGGCAGTATTTCATACAATCAGAGGTTCAATAAGAAAAGCAAATCAATGTCTCCAGGAATCTACCGAAGCAATAAAGAAATTACGACAGCGCGATCCATATGATAAACATGTCGAACATGTCAAAATGTTAACATGGGGCTATATGTCACTCGCGAAGTACTAACCCAGCCTGACTATATTTTATACTTCACTAATTGATACATACTTAATAGGCTAACTACTACAAACCTCAACGAATTTACTACTATCTTTGCCCATATTCGACGTCGCTTGATTCCTAACACGCCAATCATAAACTCCGCAACTCGCTCACTGCTAGAAGAGGAACAGGCTTCAGTAAGAGGATATCATCCACCCGCAAAATGCATCTGTTGCGGGGAAAATCCGATGCCTCCCTTCTGGCCAACCAGTATAACAGATATAAGAGATGAATCTTTACGTCAGAAGACAGCTCGCCTTCGTATTTCACATATCATAGCCAATGCTACATCTGCCTGTTTTCATCTTCCTTATTTTGAAGATAAGAATCCTAAGCATTCTCTTTACATCGTTCTATGGATTAAAGAGTTTGTTGAAACGTCAGCTGCCTTATCTGATCAGTATAGATTGTTTACTTTCCATAGGTAGGTTCCAAGATAACGACTAGTGCGAAATCAAGTTAATATTCAGCAGGGAGGTCCATTGTCTGCACAATCTTGCAAACAAAATATCAGAGGGAAAGCTTAAAGACACTGTTCGTTCTGCCTACCTAGGCTTTCTCTTAAATCAAGCGTTGGCTTTTAATTCGAGAGTAATAAAGTCAAAAGATTATGCAACTATGCTTAGGCACTTCATTTCGGTGATGAACGATCGGACTGTTAAAGAATGGTCAAGTCCTGAGAACGCCGAGTGTCCTGGGAATGTTCAGTGTCCTGGGAACGCCGAGTGTCCTGGGAATTTTCAGTGTCCTGGGAATGTTCAGTGTCCTGGGAATGTTCAGTGTCCTGGGAATGTTTAGTGTCCTGGGAACGCCGAGTGTCCTGGGCCATAAGGCAGTAATGGTTATTGGCTTAATGTCAAAAGTGTACATTTTAATGCAAGTGTACATAATATATTTTCATTATCTTGATGTTTTCTAATGTGGTGATGCATTAGCTATAAAACGCTTCTCTTCTAGAGGCCTTTTAAGCTAATAAAACTAAACTAAATTATGCGATTAATGGAAAAGGAAAAGAAAGAATTGAAAGTGATATGTAGTATAGAGTAATTGTAACATACAGGATGGAAGTAGTGTAGCAGAAACATCCTGTTTTAGCGTCGTTAATTTTAATTTAGGATTTAGGTACTTGTAGTACTTGCTCAATGCAAAGACCACGGCTTCATGCTAAGCTATGCTCGGTTGGTTTTCTATGGTGGCTTACCATAGCCATATCAATTTTCGCAACACCCTTTGCTGTATAAGAAAGTAGTATACTGGTGTTGTGATATAGCATGGAATTGCAATAAAATAGTGCTTCCCAACTAAAATATTGCACTTATTCAGTGAATTGGAGCGCTATCTACTATATTACAGCGAACATCAGTAATAAATATGCCAATTTAAGGTGCTAATATAGTGCTATATTATAGCAAATATTCACTATATTACAGCACTTATTCATTAAAATATAGTGCTCAATTACAACAATTTCGTGGCTCTTGATCTTACACAAACTACCAAGTAACATACAACCCTAAGTAAAAGATACCAAAACCCAACGAACAAACACCTCTATCAGTAGAATTCCTTTTTAATCTGCATCTCGTCGTCCAGCTAATTATCCTTTTCCAAAGGGCTCATCACTTGACAACCGATCAAAACTACGTTCAGACTGGTTGCGATTTATAATACAACCGTTACCAGCAGCAGCACTTGATACGGTACCGACATCAGGGGCATTGGTATATGTAAACATGCCTGAATAAGCCGGTGTAGCGACATTGGCAGTCCCATTATCAATATCAATCAATGAAGACGGTTGTACTGGCGTCCATCCATTAGCAAGGCGGTCTTTGTAGGCCGATTTAAGTTGCGACAAAGCATCCAGTGCTTCAGATATGTCATCAATCATGGTAAGCCGATATTGCAAGGTCCTAAGTAGCTTCCCAATCGTTATATATACGATAGGATATAGAGATGAGGAATGGCTGAAGTGATTTGATGCTTCTGGGAACAGATATATGGGGTCCTTTTTGAGACGGAGACGATACTGTTCTAGGCTGAATAACGATTGGAGTAGCCTCCTTGCAGTTTTTTCTTTGTCTAGAAATGAAACTTCGTGATTATCTAAAATAACCTTATGCGATACATCGCGAGGAGTCACTAGAGCGTTGATTCGGCAGTTAAGGTTGCGCTCCGCCGTAGAATAGTAGAATGTCGGGGTGCCACGTTTCAACTCTATGTCGTAGATCAGTCCATTGAGATGAATGGCATGGTTGTCGTTACAATACGCTATGAAATTCCATTTAGGAACATAATAACTAATTGCAGCCAGGGCGTTCATTGTGAATAGGTGACGATGAGGTAAATGAAGCAAGTAGTTGAAGTAATAACGAATGAATACTATGTCAGTATCCTACGAGGTTTTATAATACATCGTATAGCGAATATTATTGAAAAGGGAAGTGCATCAGATTGTACGCGGCCAACCCATTTTAAAAGTTTGCCTTCCCCCAACATCTCAACCCCACCGTGACTTCCTGCTGTATAAGCGACGCTAAGAGCTGCTTGTACTTAAATTCCTTGATACGGTAGGGGGTGTTGATAAAGGTCGCAGTTAGACCGGCTGGACGGCCCGCGGTCGGTTCAAACTTGCAGTGTTTTAAGTGTTAATTAAATATGGGCCGCACTGAGTGAGCCCAAAACAAGGCAACTGTTGCGATGTGGGCGGATGCCGTCTTTGGAGAGAATTTGTTATTTAATATTCTATTCTCGCTATGCATATTTATAATATAACCTATCATATTTCCGGTCACAAGAGAATAACAATCCGATTCTTCGTCAGTTCTCGTGTTCTTCTGACAACTTTGAGCGTTTTGTCGAAGGGGTAAGAAAGGACTACTACCTCTGATGCAATCTTATTCTCTGTTCCAAGTTTTCTAATTCCATGACAGAAGCATCCAACGCAGGAGGCCAAGTGGCGCCTGTTAGATATTGTTACCGTTCTTAATCTGGTGCATAATTATCTTGGAAGCTGGACCGTTGGTAAAGCTCAGATCCACGGCAGCAAAGTCTTTTATCGTCGATGTGATGTAGCCGAGAGCATCCTAGCAGGCTTGTTTGGCATAGTGTATAGTTTTATGGTGGCTGAATCACTGGGCGCATTTTTTGCCCTCGTGTCATCTCCTCATTGGACAACTGAAAATTTATTTCTTCTAGATAGATAGCAGATTCGCGGAGTCTTCTCAGCTCTAGAGCGCGAGCAGCGTCCTAGTGCCGACGTTAATTATCTTAGATAGTGAGAAAGACAGCCTCAATTGCGGAGCATGCGGTGGTCTCGTCTTCAAGGGGATATGCATTCTAGTGTGTCATGTTCTTTCAGCAAACATTACGACCGTGAACAGACTAACGGCCTCTCAAGGAGCGCGGCAAGGAGGGAATGAACATCATGAAGCTGATCCTGCAGATTCCCATGATATTGTCAACTAGGAGCGGCGCTACAACCCTACCATACCCAAGCAGGTATAGAAGAGGAGAGCGAAAAAAGAGGCGTGGAATTGACGCGGCGCCATCTAAAGAATACAACAGTAGAGCGTGTCTGCTTTTCTCAGGAACCCTTTCTTATGTATGGCGTGCTCTTGCCAATGGCCCAGGCCCTTTACCCCAAGTCGTCAGTCTGAAAGTGGAGACTCTGACCGCTATTCGAGCTGCGATGTGCCAGCAATTGCAATGTAATTTGTAGGTGTCGCCCTCCCTACCGACTGGCATTCCAACCACTGCAAAACAACCGAGCCACCGAGCCAAAAACCTGCCATGACTGCTGTAAAACCTGGCTGTACATACCACCGCCTTCTTGAATAGTCGGACCAGAAGTCGTGGAAACAAACGGATTTTCCTTAATCGGATTGTCTATTTCATTGCGTTAGGTATTAATAGCCCCTAAAAATAGTGCATTAACTCACGAGGTTGTTTTTTAAGCTTAGAGTTAACGAACCGTTGGGCAAAAGCCATACTTTCTAATGTATTGGACTCCATCGGTAATGCAAATGAAAGTTGTATTTCTAAATAGCACGTTGTTGGGGAATAGGAGGACTATATAATGGCGACTAGGTGGGCAAATTGGCGACGAAATGGGCTGTTTTCTCACAAATTTTACCAGACACCATCTTTTTGCATTAATTAGATACTTTTCTGGGCCACGATATGATTGGTTCTACCTAGTTCCGTATTGACGTGGCGTGTAATCCGTAACTACTGACAGATGAGATGTGAGGAGGGGGGGTATTATCAAACAGATTAACCGATCCCGCTACCTAAAGATACAGATGACCTAACGACGAAAACAGAAATGATACCAGTATCAATCTGCAGTAAGGGAAAGATAATCGACTAATTTTATGATAATAAATTTCACCGTAAATATATTCCATTATGGTAAAAAATTGAGTGTAATGAGGGAGCGTACCTAGAGCGCGAAATCAGTTCCGGTGCCTTATGTTGAGTCCCAAGCCACAGCCCCGTCTGGCAAACATACGAGAAGCAAATAACAGCTGGTCCTTTCTTAGCTCCGGCGCAGAGCAGCTCTAGCAGCCAGCTAATCCAGATAGAGGCGGATGGATTTTGAAATCCATCTCAACTTATTTGGTATAGCGGAGGATATACGCTTTTATAGTAATGAGACACTGGGCGCTTTTTCCCCCTCGTGTCATCTCCCCATTGGACGTCCGAATATTAGTTCGTTGCTAGCCGGCTATAATTACCTAGTGACTTATCTGTACTTATACCATTACGCCCCCCGTTTTTCGACCAAGATAGGGGAGCCGTAAGCCCTCAAGTTAGTCCCACTGTTACCTGATTTAGTTGGCAGTGCGGCTTCCATTTCACTCTGCTTAGGCCCCCTCTCGCCAAAGCATTATATATAAAAAGGAAGCTATACATAGTTATATTATTATTATTATTTAATCTTTAGTTTAACCTAAAGATATATATATACTCTCCCTTTAAGTATATAAGTAATGCATAAGATTTTTAAAAAATTATTTCTTATCTTCCTAAAAACATTTATCTTCTTACAGTTTACAAACTGTCTTATTTTTATTTGCGCCTGATATTAAGGAAGTAAGCTACTGAACTTTTAATATGCGGCAGCACCTGGCCACCCCTTAGGCGTGTATCTAGTCACAAAATCGGCTTTAGTGATTTTTAAGCCACACCGCCTTTGGGTGGAGTAAAGGTATATATTCGGCCCTTTTCAACGTTAGCGTGGATTTTGAAATCCATTAAATAGTATAGCCGGCGCGGAGCATCCCTAGCTGCAAGCTAATCCAGATAGAGGCGGGTGAATTTTGACATCGATCTTTACTTATCTGGCATAGCGTAGCCATATATTTTTAGCCCTTAATGGTGCCTTCGAGACGCTCTCAATCAGCCCATGCTTAAATATACTAAATGACACCGATTGTCGTAGCGCGATGCATGAGGCAGATAGCGTGGGGGAGAAATACGAGATTCATGCCTTTTTTGGACATTCTTGAAGCGATACCTGCACCTCAGCATTGAGGCACGAGAATTGAAGACGCTCCCGAAGCTCTTTTTGAGTACTAATACTCAAGGGGAGGATGGCCTGAAAATCCCCAATTTAGGACTATGATAACGATTGTCCAGCACAACAAACACTTGATTCGGGGTTCGATGGGTTGGTTATGAGCTGGCATCGCGGGTGCCCCGAAATTCTTGAAGAGCGAAAGATATAGTGGATAAGTATTGCTTTGCGCAAAAACAGCTTCCTCTTTCTCCACACTTTTCGAAAATTCGGCGCATACTGACATTGTTATCTTTTAATAAAAAGCCCAATATAGCATATTATCTATAAGAAATATCTACATGCCAGTTTTCAGCTTCATAAATTATAGATTTAAAAGGTTATTTGCAATATTAATGTACATAAAGAATCTTATATATAATCTAGAGCAAGTGCTGAACCTTACATTACCGCTTAGTACATTTAGGCAACGAACTTAATGCGGCATAGCCCACTTTTAGCGACTAATAAATATAGAGTACACTACATCAAAGACATTGAAGCCTCTGTGGGTTTATTCTACGCATTTCTCCCGTCTAATACACAAATCCTCCCCCTCCCACCACAGCCAGCCTACGTCCAATGCCACCAACCCTACCGAGAGAGAGATCCAACAACCGGAAGCGCAAAAATGTAAATCAGCCTGATGACAAGCCAAAGCCATGCAAACAAGTCAAATGCAAACCCCGCGCGATGCACCCCGACCATGAAGCTCTGCACTGGCTGATTTCCGAGTGTGCGTGTTCGTTAAGACAAGGTGATTGGGACGCGTTCATGGATTGCTTTACAAATGCCACCATAATATAGGATGGAGGGAATGAGGCAGCTGGTCAAAAACACATCGAGGCAGCAATATTAATTCCTAGTCAAGGCCCGACAGATGTCTATCCTCTCATTTCTGAATACATTTGTAATGGTAACGAAGCAACGATAGCTGGGTGGCTGATATTTTTTCGCTTTTCCGATATCCCCGACAAGGAGCATTGTATTGTCAGGTGTTGTGAGTATAAATGCCAGAGAACATCTAAGGGTTGGAAGATTCAAAGCGCACAGTTTTTTCGATGCTTTTTACTTAAATGAACTTAACCTCCCATCTACCTGAGAGAGAGAGGCTTGGCCAATGTTAATAATAATTAGCAGCTATAATACTGTTAAAGGCGAAATAGGTGTCATTTGTTAAATAACTTTATTACGTCTTGCAGGGCTACATATAATATAACTTATGTTGCTAGTGCAAGCAGCACTAGTACAGGGTCGACCGAAACAAGTGTCCGCTTTTTAGTTTTACTAAATTTTCTTTAAGCATAAGCCAGTTCCGCCACATGTGGCTTATACTGTTTTCTTGCTGTGAGCTTAATGTACCTGTCAGTTTGTCATAAAGTTGGGTTGTTAGAGCTGGGGATCGATCAGTGACTCCGCTTTTCTTTAGAGCTACATTTATTAGTGTGTAAAATAAATATTGGCACTGTATCAGCCACACCTAATCCAAAAATGGCTCTCTTTAACAATCTATTATTATAAGTAAGAAAGCGGACACTCATTTCGGCCGGGTCTGTACTAGGTATTAGGTGAGGTATTTTACACTTGTGAGAACAGCAGGCCGATTACAGCAGAAGAATATGGACAGTGCACGCCCACCTACTATTTAATTAATATTACTTTCTCTCGCTTCTTTATGTACCGTAAAATTATAAATGGGTGTCGCGGGTTTCCTTAGTAAATTTATTAGTAAGCCGGGTGGCTATTTGCGGACTTGTACCTTGAAACGTGCACCTGTACCGATGGAGGTCCTGATGGAGGTCCACTATAGCGAAGCCGGAACTGGCCTTTATTTGCTGCAACACTGTACATACAGGACAGCAAAAGATGAGGAAAAGAGAATGAGTTCATCGAACTCGTTTTCTTTAGTTGCACCTGATGTGTACGTAGAACTTACAGTCAACAACCTGCTACATACTATAATACCTATAATACCTACATGGACAAAACCTACCTAGGTATCTAGAATAGGCAGGTGGGGGTGGGGGTGGGGCGAGGGGGTAATTGAAAAGGCCCTTCCACAAAATTCTCTGGATATGGCCATTGAACTACCTTTTTGGCCATTTAATATCACATGGGTGGCTAAAGTTGGGTTTGGTTAACAAAATATCTTGCTATACAGTGTTCAGATACATGCGTATGCATGAACAAAGCCTTCACCTAGGAAATGATAAAGCTGCAGGAAATATCGCTAAAGATCTTTCTTTTCCCTTCCCGCTACAGTTAGGAGCGAAATAGCCGTCCTGTTAAAACCAACTCCCTAGCGCACAGGCATGTATATTACAGTGCTAGTTATACTATCATGTACGCAGTACCGTCTCAGGTACACAATGTGTAATCCGGCATAATATAAGTCCGGTTTCAAAGATGCTTGCAAGTAGTAGACCAATAGTAAGGAGACCGACCCCACTTAGCAGTCTCTTAATTTTTAAGGCATGTACTTGGACTGGGCTTATTTCGTATTTATTGACTGTATCTGCACTGTCTACCTAAGCCAAAGTTGCTAAATAGACTGTACTTGTAGTACATTAAACTACTTTTAAATGCAGTAATTAAATAAGCCTTAACAAGTATATATAAGTATTTAAGAAGTACTCATGGTCCGTGCTTACATATTCTGAGTGTGTGAATAGGACGCCCATTTCGCTCCTAACTGTACTTATTTGAAGATGGTTATAAAGTAGATCTAAAATGGCTGTTAGAGCTAGGGATCAGTGGCTCCGCCTTTCTTTAGCGCTATAGTCTATGAGTGTGTAATATACACAGTACTGTATATATATATATATATATATATATATATATATATTTGCACTGTGTCAGCCACACCTAATCCAAAATTGGCCCTCTTTAACAATCTATTATAAGTAAGAAAGCGGACACTCATTTCGGCCGAGTCTGTATTATAACGTCCCTCCCCTGTGTATGAGGCAGATCTTGCAAAGGGCCTTTTTCGCCATGCTGGTATATTAAGCGTTATCTAGCTATAAGAGTCGCCTAAGCTCGTGAGAGGCATCGAGCTATGACCGCACTAGCATAATTTGCATTTCATTTATTACTACATATGTACAGTCAAAGGCGAAATGGGTGTCGCGAATTAACTAGATAAAGATTATAAAAAGGGTCCATTTTATTTAGATTGTGGCTTAATACCCCTGTCGCTTTTGTACTTTGTAAGTACTAGTACAATCCGCAAAATAATAACTGGTGGAAAAAAAAATCACTTTTTGGACTTTCATTAATAGATACGTTTCTGTTTAGCTCTGTTGGTTAATGTCCCCGGTACTTCTAGTACTTTGGCAATACAATGCCCGGGCGCTCCCTAGCGCTGTACTAAACCAGCCACAGTTGCATTGAATGCTGGCTTATTATAATTAAGTATAGATTTGCGACATACATTTCGCCTTTTACTGTACATACTTATCAACTGAATTTCGTTAAGGGATCCTGGAGATGTCAGAGCCATAAAAGACATTACTCCTACTGAGAATGTTGGCAGAAATCACTAAATGGATTAATTTCTGGCTTGTTCTACACGCTGTATGTACTGTATATACTTAGGACCAGAAGAATCTAAACTATAGTAGACATCTACATAATGTAGTAGCAACACTCTACGGCTATTGCTATATACACGAATAAGAAAATATGAGTCGTCTCCAAAATGTTGTTTACTGGGGCCAGAACGGTGGTAATATAGTTGAAAATGACAATCTTGCAGAGTATTGCGCCTCAGCGTCTGGAATTAACATTATTGTCCTAGCCTTCTTATATAACCTTTCACAAGAGACTGGCATTCTGTCTGGTTCATTTGGCCAGTCATGCGCTATTACTTCCTCCGGATATGGTCAAGGGTGTGACAATATAGCTTCGGCTATTAAGACTTGTCAGGCTGCAGGAATCAAGATTATCATTTCTATGGGAGGCTGGGCGAGTTCAATTATACTAAAATCACAAAGCCAGGCCGAATCTATTGGTCAATATTTATGGGATGCATATGGAAACCCAAATGTTAAAACTGTGCCACGACCATTTGGGAATACTCTTGTCGATGGTTTTGACTTCGACATTGAACATCCAGATGGGGCCCAGTATTATCAATACCTCATTGCGAAGTTGCGGACAAATTTTGCTAAAGATCTCTCGCATAAATATTATATTACAGGCGCACCTCAGTGTTCTCTTCCGGAGCCTAACATGGGCGAGATTATTAAACATTCCGAGTTCGACTATCTCTGGATCCAGTTTTATAACAATGACTGCGCTCTAGGTCTTGATGATGGTGAGCATTTTAACTACTATGAGTGGACCAGTTTTTTATCAACGACACCTTCTAGAAATGCTAGTCTCTTCTTTGGTCTACCCGCATCTTCATTAGCATCAACTGGCACCTCTACTGGGTCAAAATACTATGTGACTCCTGAGATAGTAGCACAATTTATCAATAGTAGTAAAAGCGGACATAGTTTTGGCGGGGTCATGATCTGGAGCGCAGGATTTTCCGATGCAAATATTAATAATGAATGTACTTATGCACAAAACATTCATCATATTCTACTCAATGGGTCTGCCTGTGGACAATCGGACTCTCTGAGATCTTCACCAAGTGCAACACTCATGCCAACAAGTGCACAAGCCCAAACGTCGCTATTAGAAACGGCCACAGCATCTGAATCAGTTGGAATCCCTATGTGGGGTCAAGTACGTAATTGTCGACACGTTGCTTAAAAAGTTTTTATGCTAACGAAAGTAGTGCGGCGGCCAAGGTTACTTTGGTCCGACACAATGCTTACCGCCTTACAGATGTATCCAGTTGAGCAACTGGTGGTCATCTTGTCACTAACATCAACAGAATTTTAGCATGCTAAATGTATTGTAATTATATTTTGAGTCACATGTTTCATTCTTATTGATGAATAAGCTGTCATCGGTCTTGGCCCTATACTTGACCCATGACAATAGATGAAATTGAAACAGTCAATAGTCCTTTCAACGACATGTTTTTCCATTTCCGTTATTGTGGCAGAAATGTCCTTTAATTACCCCACGATATTACAAAAAGTCAAATACATGTCGTTTGCTGTATTAAATCCGAGACCAGTTAGGCTAGAATAGGGTCCATTTCAATAAATTTATACTAGTCTAGTAGATTTTAATTTATCGCTGTTATACATAACTGCCATACCTCTCGTAAAAGCAAAAAAGCCAATTCCAGACTATCCACTAAGTTGAATTTGGCTTAGTAAATTACTGATGGTCCTTTCCTGCCACATCGCATCGAAAGGCACCAAAAAAGACGGTTCTCAGTCGAATTGCGGATCCAGTACCATACAGTTGTGTTTATCACTGCTCGTTTATACATATGCGTATGATGTTATGTAAGTATCTGTATACAATTTTTATATATTAAGAATAGCGATCTTGGCTCTTCAAATTAAGCTATCTTAGGCTTTTAACTTAAAATAAAACCCTTCACACCTGTTCGAGTATACCAGAGCATTTGCACTCCTTGTCGCACGAGACATTTAGATTCAGAGCTAATTGGAAAATCAGAGTTACGCATTCCCCAGGTAAGCGTGGTATGAATGCTTACACAGTAGCATAAGAAGCTTATTTTTTTCCCCCTCCTCCTAGGTTATAACGTAAGGACATTTCATAGTATCGTTCTATCAAGGCTTAGGCTTTCGATTATAAAATCTTAATGCCAAAATGTCTGGTGAAATTGAAGATGAGGTTGACTGGGATTGGGATGATAATGAGACATTCGACAAAGGTGGCCAAAGAAATACATCTAAAAGCTCTGAAATCAGTGGTTCATTCAAGAGACCACGAAGTAATATACATTCGAGACGAGACCCTCCATTGATGCTGAGACAAAACATCCGATCAAGAAGGGCAAATTAATTTACTTCGGATCTTTCTCAATAGCTTCTCTATAGGGGCTCAGTGTATGTATTCCAAACTCAAATCAAGAATGTTTTTACAGAAGGACGACATCTCATGGTATTCAGCGAATATTGGAGGGGATCGAATATCAAACAAGGTCCTGGTTATTAATGGTAAAATGTCCTTTTTTAAGAACAGCGATATTTGAAGGTTCATAGTAAATAAAGGGCAGTTAATTGAGGCAGCACTGCTGGTAGACCTATAACAATGAGAAACAAAACTTGTTCTAAACTCCAGAAGTCTTAGAAATACACTGAATAAGAGCCACATTCATAGACCAAGGATATAGAACGGTACTTCCGTGGTATAACGACTGAAGCCAAATAACTCAAATTTATGCCTAAGGTAGATATATAATTGCGTTTCTATAAAACGCAGAGTGCTTTGCAAGTTCTGTACGCTACACAACTCTTTCTAAAACGTTCTATCATCGATCAACGATTTCCTTTCCACATATCACGCTATTTAGCTACCCGCACTTAAACAATACCTCCATAGTGTATGCACCATGATACATCTTGAACCAATGAAACAACATCTCAAACTTTATTTAGCCAAGACAATCGCGTGCTCTTGGTATCTCATCGCTCTGAGCTAACCAAAGTTCATAATACCTACCGCGCTTGTTCATCAGCCGCTCATGACTATCGTTTTCGACAATTTTTCCATTGTCCAACACAATTATTCGTGATGCCCCTTTGACTTCCGAGAGTTTATGTCTAATTAAAGTCAAACTTTGATCAATATCATAAATGGAAGAACATGCTATACGTAATCATGAGGCATGTTGCTCTATGCCAGAGATTATGATCGCGGATTTTCTTCGAGGTATCCGCGTCCAGCGAGCTAAATGGCTCATCCAATAGTACAATCGGTGCTGACTTTAGAGAGGCTTTTGCCAAAGCCATACGTTGCCTTTGGCCTCCAGAGAGCTTTCTGGAAAACAGAGTGAGAAGGATATAGACGTTATAATTGTGAACGCGAAAAACTTACTCTCCTCGCTGGCCAACCTGAGCGTCATAACCTATTTCAAATCAGCCAATCAGATAAGAAAAGTTGACAATAGGAGCTACGGACCTCCCATGGATTCAGTAATTTCTTTATCCAAACCCACCATCTCACATATCTTCCTTACGTCGCCATCAGATGCCTGATTATTAGCATATTTCAGGTTATACATAATGGAGCCAGGAAAAAGTTCAGGTGATTGAGGGACAATTGCTATGTATTTTCGGACACTATTGATGTAAGAAACGGCATTAAGGAGCTTTTGTGTATGGGTAATACTAACTCATCAACAGCTGAATCGTGAATATTATGATTGTCAATGTAAACAGATCCATTTCGAGGTGGATATAACAGAGTAAGGAGATTAAATATTGTCGATTTCCCTGCGCCCGTACGTCCTACAATAGCGACAAATTCTCCTGGTTTCACTGAAAAGCTGACATCATCAAGGATCAATTTAGCATCTCCGAATCCAAAGGAAACGTTTTCAAATTCGATTTGGCCATCGCATTTTTCTAGACGTTTCGCATTGGGACGATGTGGCACAGCTGGTGTGTGACGCAGAGCAATGGTCAGCCATTTAATCCGAGAAAAGCTATTTGGTACATGTTTAATCGTTCTAAATAGCCAAGTGAAGGAGTTGTTGACTTTGTCCCAATATGATATAAATATAATAAAGTCAGAAGGGCTTGCTCGACCTTGAATAATCTGATACACCATGCAATACTGCGCTAGTGCTTTTGCGCCAGAAGAGATCAACCCCATTTGCAGAGATTCAACATTAGAGCGATATGCTTTCTTGGTTTGTATCTTCAAGGCTTCCCTCACCGTGCTGAGATAACGCTCAATCTCAAATTGAATTCCGTTATTATATGCGACAGTTCTCCAGAGATTAATGGCAGCGGATCGGATACGAAACTCATTCAAGACAGCACTATTTTGAATATATAGCTCAGCCAGAAATAGTTTTTGAGAAATGAAAGTATAAAGTGCCAAAATGACGAATATAATAACGGTCGTATGAGGGCCCAAGATTGCTGTAAGGTATCCCGCTGCTAATGTCAGATCTATTGCCGTTGATATCATGTCGATAATCATTTTTATGAGAAAATGAAGATCAAGCCCTCCATTAAGTCCATCTAGCTCTTTATTATCGTGGAAATCTCCGGATTGTCGCATCACATGAGCGAACAACCGCTCCTTTAGCGTTGTGGAACAGTAGCCTTCAAACATAGTCCATAAATAGTTCCCACCTGAGTCTAGGCAGAGCAACAGTAATCGTAAACTGAAATATTCAATGATTGAATATACAGGGAGCTGCAATTGGTTCGTATTTTGGGATATTTTTGCTTCGATGGAGGGGAGAAGCATTCTGATACAGCTTCCTAATATGCCGCACGTATATGAAGCCACAGCATAAACTCGTCGTTCATAATTTTGAGGCCAAATGTGTGGCCATAAAGTCTAATATCTGTTGAGCTGATGACCTGCAGGTATAATGTTTACTTATTAACATACGGTGCAGATGTTATATATCGAGACATCATTTTCAGGAAGCAAATGTCTCGCCTTTGAGAAATAGGCGTCGAAAATTACTACCAGAAATCCAAAACAACGAAACAAAGCCATTTTATTTCGGATAGTCGCCAAGTGATACATTCTCATGAATCTCTGGAAGATTGAAAAAATATTGTAGAAAAGCGATATGGTCCAGCAAGTCATGCTAAAGTTGGTGCCAAAGATGGCACAGATAGCAAGTCCGTGAGCGTCAAGTACCGGTAGAGCAATGAATACATAATGTATCCTGCTAGGCCATGCCTCTGAGTTGAGAAGAACAATGAGCAAGTCGATAAAATAAGTCAAATATACGAAAATAAGCAAATAATGTCGCATGCTGTGGATTTTTATCATCTTGCCTCAGATCTGGGGGTAAGTTTATCTTGGGGAGAAATGGAAGAGAATAGATATGGAAGAGACGAAAGGAACACACATTAGAGACTCAATCAGAATTTAAACATGGCAAGGGAGACACAGCCTCAACTAACCCCGCACTATACGGCTTTGAACCACCAGAATCAGCAGGTATACTAAATTACATGCATGAACTAGGTATCTCGAGGATCACTATCGTCATTATCTCTTTCTAAATGCTTCATAGGTATAATTATTCTGTTCAGGACATGTTTTCTCTACGTAATTAAGGTGCTTCGCCATGTAGAACCGATGACAAAAAAAAAAAAAAAAGGATTGGGGTGTCACCAGCGCAAGGGCTGTGATGTATTACACCTGTATGATAATTGCATAGAAAATGATGGGCCGAAATGCATTCACGAAGCGCGTGCAAGATAGCTTAAGACGAGCACTGACGTGCAGCTATTCTAGGAAATGATTTTTTACTGCTGTGATAACTTCCTGTATTTCGAACTTCGAAACATTACGGCCAATTAACCTCAGTTCGAACAAGTGAATGCAAGAACTACCTCGAATGCGCAATAGTAGACGTGGGTAGGTAGGGGGAGGCAACGTCGGGGGAAGGGGGGGGTGGGTCGTGGAAGTAGCTTGGAGTCGAAAACCTAGCTTCCCCGTTGTAGTTTTTAGGAGGAGGGATTCAGGTGTGGTAATTTCATTTAGTAATAATGAGTTTACAGCCAATGCCAGCACTGGTTCTCGATACACTCCATAGATAGGCCCCCTATATTATCATGCATGGATATCTATTGATCGGCCCCACACAAATCATATATGATACGAATTACGTATCTTCTTGATATTGGGGGTGCATATAACAATTCACTCCATGATGTGCTTAAGCGGAGTATTGAGACCGAGACACACCGCTTGTGGGGTAGCTGTTTTTTTTTTTAGCTCGGCGCGGAGCATCCCTAGTCGCCTGCTAGTCCGGATAAGGGTCGATGGATTTCAAAATCCATTGGATCTTATTTGGCATAGCGCGCCTTCTAACCTTAACACCGAAGAACGGCTGGAATACAGGTCAAAATAGCGCTCTCACTCTAGCTAATAAAACGCAGTAGTACAGACTACATTATGCAACTTCAAATTGCCAATACAACACACCGCAGTGGCTGCCAATCGCGTTATATACTGAATCAGGAATAGGAGTGATATGCGAATCCGTTCACCTCTGTCCCTCGCGGGTATCTTTTGGGTCATTACGCGAAACATATTTCGGCATATAACAGAAAGATATATGAGATTAGGTGCAAGCTAACATCTTAATGCTTAGTATACCTTATTTCACAGAGCACCATTCTGTTCTATATACCCTTTGGATATCCCCCAACCAGCTGAACAAGCGCAGCAAATCGCTAACCATTAGCTCATGCATCTTTAGAGCCAGCATTATTAGAGTCTTAAAGAATTGATACAAGTTGAGTTTTTTTTTTTTTTTCCCTTGGAGAAGGGTGGGATAAATTGTCCTAAAGTTCTAAAAGTATGAACACAGTTTGTAAAAATGTACCCAATATTTTGCCCTCAATAGCCTCTCGTATGTACCCTCCATGGGCTTCAATAAAAGTTACTAGGGCCCAGTGCTGCTGTAAGGGAGAATTTCGTGACTCTAAATAGCGCAGTAGGCTATCAGACACTGGACTGTTTACTCCATGCAGGATTGGCCGCGTATGGACGGGCGTTGCCGTAAAGGCGTCGGACAACGGGGAGCAGAGCAAGCCGGCAGAAGTACAGGTTAATATTCGTGTATGCTGGTATTTAAACATCGCTGACTTCCTGTCTCTAGAGAAATCACCGCACTATAAGACGAGATTCATATGTTCTTGATCTTTGCTTAGCCATATGTCTTAATTTTGTTTTAACATACCACGTTCGATATCTACAATCGTGCCTGAGGAGTGCGATTCCCATTCCCTTTAATGATCAAAATTTGTGAAAGAACGTCTCTCCTTAATAAGGGACGTGAAGAAAGTCGGTTCCCTATGGCGCTGTATACCGCTATTTTCGGTTTATGTCTCCTACTCACTCAATTGCCCCTGTTTACCTCTCGAAAATCCGATATTCCAGGGATACACCAGTTACTTATTTGGGTTGTCCCAGATTATATACGTGATATCTTATGGTCTATATTTGCGCGTGTTCTTGGGAATGCTGGATATGAAGCTATTTCTGAGTATGGCAAAGAAAAAAGTCTATTAGTAGCCATCCGGAAATCAGACTCTCTTGCTGCGTTTTCCAAAGGGCTGATGAAGTTACTTTCGACGATAAATACAGGGGCTCTAACTTTGATGCGGTGTGGAATCAATGCCTGGTGCTCATGGCTTTTAGCATTTCTTACTGTTGTGATCTGGTGCTTAGTATCATTTTGGTGTCAAGATACTATTATCCGAGAGATACAAAAAGAAAGGAGAGATAGAGATTTCGCCGTGTGAGTGCATCCAAGCCTAATCTAAGAATTTAGCTGAACAATAAAAAGGGAAACGCAAGATGAATTACGGCGCATTAAGCAAGATCGTTTTACAAGAGCAACCAAAAAAGGTGATCGAATTCGCTCATCTTTGAGAATAGGTTTGCTTCTTGTGTTCATGTCCTCAAGCATTTCAATGCCAGCCAATGATGGGGCGATAATTTGGATTCGCCTTGGCCATCAATTACATTCACTGAGCGAGACCCTCGACAAGATCATACAAACATTTCCTAACGCTTGGTGCATCATAACACTAATGCGCATGAATGGAGGTGTGGCTCACTTTTTTCATATCGCGTCGATGCATGTATGGCAACTGGAAAATTCAGCTGAAAAATTCAGTCAGTCCTCCTAGTATGCATGCTAAGAATTCAGTATCAGACGCGTAGACTACCTTATTTGCGCGCTTTTCTCTCCATTTTGCAGTTAGCTGCGGAATGATGGCCGCGCAATGCTATGTGGCGAACGGCACGCGTTTCCTTGACAGGACTGGAAGTATAATAATATATTAGAATTGTTGGCATCTGACCGTCTCGTGCTTCTTACATCCTTAATTCCCCCCTCTATCTGTATCTTGCACTGTTCCTTACCCATTCAACATTTTAATTAAGCCGCGGAATTTGCCTGCAACATCTTCCTAACTTCAGTAATATAAAAAGCGCTATCTTCATCCTAATCTCAATAAATATACATGCCATATTGCCATCTACTCCCTGTGACGCTATCCCTACAAATTTAAATTCCAGCTGCCGGATATTCTTTGGTGCGGTCTTTAGCAATAATAAATCCTAAGCGGGCTTAAAAAAACCCAGGGACTGAGGAAATTTTGAATACACAAAGGATGCCCACTCTAATGGTGCTCTTGATTACGTAATTTCCCGGCTAAATATTTTTCCTCTCCGCTCAATATTTTTCTCCTCGTCTGATCACCTTGGCATACGAATGTCTTTCGATGGCTGATAGATACCAACTTTGACTGTAATTCTGGCCACCGTTGCTTAAATTTGATGCGTTGACACTGCCTAACAATGTGGCAAGGATGACACAAGGCATCATCACATGTTTTGATTGTTTTCGCTCTGCGACATCAATTCGCTCACCTATTCCGAGGTTCTTACTCAACTTCCAAGGTATGGGACATTCCAGGCCCTTTTCAAAGATAAATGAAGAGTTTAACAAGCTAAGAGAGTCAACGAATCAAATCTTCCTACGTCGAATGCAATAGCTGTCGAAAGCCCGATGACACTCTTGAACACCGTATGCGAAGGGATTTTAATCAAGAATGCAGACTGTAGGGGTCTATGTTATTGCTTTGCTTATCAAGTTCTAATGTATATTCAAACTGTACAGAGAACCCAAACCACGAACGGAGAGTACGAATCTATAGAATACGATTATTTCAGTCCTGTTGAGTACGAAAGATTAATGTACTGGTATGCTGGAGGTGGTGGTCTTGGCATAGGGCCTCCTGGTAACATTCGAGCGATAAAGACGGATAAAGATAATCATTCTGGAGAGGTTCTCAAGGCTGGATTGTGTGTACATGTAAGAAATACAACTTTTAAACTCATCCCGGCATAGGAAATAGAGTGCTAAATATATCCCAACCTGCATCAAAACCTAGTGCAAGAAAGATCACATAATCTGCACCGTCTGTACCTATTTTTAAAGCATGGGTGCCCATAGATGCACCTTTATCTATTTCCTCCTTCCGTAGCTGGCTGGACTCTAGACATTCCCAAAGATAATCGCCAAGTATAGCCCTTAATTCAATTAATTCAGGCATATCCTTTGCTTCAGAGATTCGCATCCCTATCGCAGAACATACCCATAGTTTTAGCCAAGCATCATTCATAGAAGAAGGCAAGTATAGTTCTATCGTATCGGTAGAAGTACGATTCCCTTCGGCTTTCCTTCTATTGCTCTGAGTCAATCCTACGTAGAGGTAATTTTGAATGATAGGCTTTGCTTTGTCTAGCGCAGGACATAGCGCTACATTGCTGTCGGCTGGTTGGAAGTGCAGTTCAGTCGATGTATTTCTCGATTCTTCAACCAACGCTGGTTCAATCGCCGTCTGTCGGTCAAGATGGGGCAAGATTTCTAACGCAGGTAAGTATAGACTCCCAGCACTGGGGGGAATAGATTTCCTTACCAGTAAGATAAAGAGACCCCAGCCTGCAGTTATATTCCCGGATTGCATCGTAGACGAGCAACGAGAAACGCGATAGGGTATACTGTGAAAGTGTATACTGTGAAAGTGCATTTTTAACCTCAGGCGGAATCCCCTCTTTCAGCTTCGTTATTAAACGGAAGGGTACACATCGGATAAGTTTGGTAAACTCGATTACATCAAGAGATCGGCGGCCAAGACCGGGCAGTCCACCGTTTTGGCCAGACGAGGCTGTATATCGATCTTTTGCAGCCTCAACCGCATTTCGCTTGTAATTCCTTTGAGGTTTTTTGTCGATTGATAATGCATTTGTAACGTCTTCGATTAAGCATTGTCGCTTGTGTCTAGCTCTCTGTTCACTGCGGTGCACAGCAGCAGGTCTTGCCTGAGGGGGAACACCAGAGTCAGCCATGTAACGCGGTTGCAGTTTTGCAAAAAGACAACGCAGTTGCAGTTTTACAAAAAGACAACGCGGTTGCAGTTTTGCAAAAAGACGATGCAGTTGCAGTTTTGCAAAAAGACAACGCGGTTGCAGTTTT